ACTCGCACGCACGCATATGTTCATGGACGTTAAGTTTAAGTTAGGTTAGGTTAGGTTCAGATAGGCTAAGTTAAGATAAATATAGAGTAGGGTTACGTTAAGTTTGGATTAAGTTAAGGTCCGGTAGGTTTGGGTTAGGTTAGATTTGTTAGGTTAATTAAGATTAGGTTAGGTTATATTAAATTAGGTTATATTAGGTTAGGTTAGGTTTGAGTCTTGTTATGCTTGATTAGATTAGTACTGGCAAACATCATAATTATTTGGCCGGGAAAAATAGTTTACGAGTGTGTGAAAGTTTGGACCCAGAACTATCAAGATTCTCTCTCTCTCTCTTCTCTCTCTCCGCACAGACGTAAGCACCCTCTCAACTCCTCAGTAAAACTAACCCCAAACGCTCCACCCAAATTAACCCAGACCACAAAGAGGAATTATTCCCCCCTTCAACTTTACTCTCTCAGATTCTTCGTCAATTTCAACTTAGACTTTTGACTTTTTATCTCCACGAGGATAATTTTGAGGAACTAATATGTGACTCCCAAACTTTAGCTTTATTTTTTTTCCCCACCCCAAGAAGATATTTCAGTCATGTCTGGTGCAAGTAGGCGACGCGTCACCCCTTCAGCCTCGAGTACAGTATTGGAGACCTGAATCCGGATATGTTGTGTGCGTTCGTAAAACTAATCCGCGGTTAAGATGGATTTCAGGATTCGATATATGAGGGATTACATTCCGTCTTATTTCATATGATATTTAAGTTATGTTACAGTTTCATTGTTATCATCTGGGTGTGTTAAAGTGCTGCTTCTCTTATAACGGGGTAGAACTTCAACATGGCAAAGGTAACTGAGAACTTACCATTTGTAATTTAACCAACAGCTTGCTAGTTCGCAGTTTGCCGTATATTTCGTATAGGTTAGGTGTGTTGTCTGCCTTTATAAATTATATTATTATACACACGATACTCGAGAGAGGGAGGCGGTCTCAGTATGTCTTTAAATGTTATGTTTGTTTACCTCCACATCTGATGATCGTCTCCTGTTCAAAGATTATCGTATATTGTGTTGTCTCTTTTTACCTCAAGCTAAAAAGAATTGTGTTCGATTATTGTGAGGGTCATTAGTTCTCGCCAAACTCTTTGTTCTTACCTTTCTCTCACATTTCTCTTGCGTCTCTCACTTTCTCACCTTCCTCCCACACACACACACACACACACACTCTCTTCCCTGGAGTGAGGGGAGAGGATTTTCCTTTCTTGAGAGGGTCGTCTTGAGTGGCCTGAGGGGCTGGTGGTGGCTCTTGATATCTGATTGGTCAACTATTCGTCAGTCCTGCCCTTATTGGTTGGTAACTTGGTATCCATTCAGACCTGTCCTCGGAATGGTTCGTATCCTGCTAATCCAGCTTTCTGATTCATTCGTATCCTGTTATTCTAATCCTCTGATTGGTTAATATCCTGTCAGTCTTGCACTATGATTGGTCTATTCTTTATCAACCTAACCATTTGACATGATCATTCTGTGCTAGAGAGAGAGAGAGAGAGAGAGAAAAAAAAAAACTATTGTGTGAAAGTGAGACAGAACAGTGGGAAAGAGAGACAGACGAACAACGTGTGTCAAAGAAATAGAAAGACAGATAGAATGTATACCATGCAGGAAGGAAGATTGTGTTGAGATGTTTCCTTCAAGGTTCTAACTGGAACGCCTTCGTCTGGGCAAATTGGCGCCATTTCCTTCTCCGCTCAGCTTTGCCTGCCAATGTCTAGTACTCTCTCTCTCTCTCTCTCTCTCTCTCTCTCTCTCCGTTCTCATTTAAGGCAGAAAATATACCTCAAAGAATCTTTAAAAGTATCAAAGGGAATCTGAATCCTTCATCAGGATTCATAAAGAGTGTTTACGTCACTGCTTATCTTAGCTGGAGATTATACAAACAATTCTTCTTAAGATAGTCCCATTACTATTTCGACGTCATTTTTCGGTCTGTTATCTTTTCCAATTAGTTGCATCGTCACAGCACCAGTTGAGGGGGAACAAATAAATCGTACAAACTGTTGAAAATCACAAGTGGCACGTGGCGATCCCTCGAAAAGTGAATTTGAGCCGAGTCGGATTTTTATCCTCAGCGCAGCCATTCCCGAACAAGGTTACTCCCTCTTTTTATTGAGCCTTGTAAAACACACACGCACAGCTACGTTTAATATGCTTTTATCAACCAAGTGAGTGGCTGGAAGGCTTAATAATAGCTTTCTCGTGAAGCTTGTTCTATATACTAACCTACTAACTTTCAGAGCTTAATTATAGCTCTAATGTAGAACCTTCAGCCTGCTAATTTGGACAGCTTAATAATAGCTGTGACTTGAGATCCTGTAGCCCCACTTTACCATGTATCACAGCTAAATCACTCGACTAAATTCTCTCATTAAACAAAATAAGTTTTTACTAACTCATTTTAAAAGCGAAAGAGCTTAAAACCCTGCTGAAGCTGACAGAGAAAGCTTAATGACAACTATAACGAAATCCATATACTCTATACCTTACTTAACTGCTTCGTCTCTCAGGCACAACAATTAATTAAACCTCGCTTAATAAAGTAAATTAGTTTTCTCTTAAAGTCCATTAAACAGGGTAAAAAGTGAGTTAGGAATTTATGTAACAAAATCAAACGAGGCAGATAAGAACGGTTGGCAGATGAAGTTCTTTCCAAATAAGTCGTCGTTGCTGCGTTGAATTTAATCCTCTGAAGCTCTGAGTCAAGCGAGAGACTGACTGGTGTGTATCTGTCTTTCCTTCCGTTCGTCCTTCCGTCCGTACTATGTGTCTGTCTATCCATTTGTTCGTCCTTCCGCCCATCCCGTTAACTCCAATGGTTTCCGATCATTAGCTTCGTAATCGATAGCCCGACTGCCATTATACTTGAATTTGTAGGTCATATTTTCCAGCCCCCTCAAACCTCATTAACACATGATCACGGTTCGATGATTTTTATTTCCATGCAGGTCTAGTATTTTTATGTAATTTTTTTGGGCGGGAATTTGAGAGAAGGAGAATCACCACGTAAAATGTTACCAGTTTCCCGAGTGGTAAACATTGATTGGGTCAGGTGATGTAATTTGTACAATCTTGACATTTTGTTTTTTCAGGTGTGTATCAGCCATTGTTAAATACAGAAATTTTCTCATTTACTCCAGTTGCAGCGGATCTCAATGTATAATTGAAAATAATGAATACAGGTTTTGAAATGAATAAATAACGTTAAACAAAACAAATAAATGACTACGATTCGGTTACGAGGCTGCCAAACACAAGTCCAGAGACTGTATCTCACTTATTTTCATTTCACACTCCTGCTTGTTTATTAACTGTTGATTATGTAACTGTTAGGAACTCAGGTGGACTGGGTATAAAACTCCAGTGAATATACAATATAATTATCCTCCACGTACTCCGCTGTCGGCTAAAAAAAAAGAAAGAGGTATTTGCAGATATTATAATATAATACTATGAAAGTTTAAAAAATACCGCAGGTCATTTTTAAGTTCCGGGTCTTATTGTCTTCCATTTTTCCTGATTTCAATAATGAAAGATGTTGAATTGAGAGTATGAACAAGTCCAACCACTTTTGTTCCCCAGTTCCGAAACGAAAAGTTGAGAAAATGTATTATGAACAGAATTTCAACACAGTTTCAAAGCCGCCATTAGCAGGAAATCATTACGAAATGTGATGACAATACTGCACTGTGATCAGTGCCAGCTCTTAACAGACAAGAGAGTTAATATGATTTCCATCGCATTTCCAAAGTAGAGTTCCATTAGGCAACATTGAAATTACACACAAATTGCATACAAGGCTGACGACCACGGATATACTCTATCTAACATACGCAATTACATATTCAGGTCGCTGGTGGGGAGAGCAGAAATAATGTTGTGCGGAAGGTAATGAAGATGATAACGCAACGTTACAGATGCCGACTACACCAACCCTATACTTAAAAACACATCTTGATATACACAACTTACCCAAGTCATTCAAATGTCATGTAACCTTGAACTTGTTTTCACACCAGCAATTTGATTAACTTTCTTATTCACTAATATATTATCAGACCTATGTGGACATAAGTGTGATATTGAACATAAATGTTTTGACGACACTGGCATTAATGGTCGCTTAAAAAAGTTATATCAACGGCAACAATTCTAACAGTTGCCACATGTACAGTATGTAGCTGGCGATTATTGTACTAGATTTATATGAATGCTGCTTTACCTTTGTTTCTTTTGTCTATATTCTCACGACTACCAATGTGAATTTAAAGTAATTAATTTAATGGATATGCAATAATATTTAAAGCGTTAGTTGACGGCAATGGGGACAACTATTTTATGAAGGTGGCAGAAAATGGGAGATATTTAAAGGGTAAATATTATAATGTTTCTGGAGTAATGTGAATGAGAAATAATTCGATATATTAAAATAATAATGGTACTTGGGAAAGAGCAAAAGTACTGCATATAAAAACCAAATCCGATTAAACATAAACAAAGTTTCCAAGAAATTATGAAATTTATTGCAAGATACTTCTGGGAAATAATAGTTTAGCTTATTCGTCTAGACATTTTATAAGATTATGATTATCTTCTGTCATTTATACATAGTAAATACATCGGGTGATTTTACCAGTAATAGAACAAACACTTACAGGGAAAGTAATATACTTATATCAGATTATAACCTTGGCAACTGCTGTGGCCGATAAGGGGCTCATGATTCAGCGCTTATAAAAAGATTCAAGGTAAGAAAGAAAATGACAAGAAATGGCTGTGGCAGAACAGGAACACAGTACAGCAATACAGTACAGCAATACAGTACAATCTCACAACGAACCTCACTTACTGGGGCTCTTAGCTTACACCACTTTTACCAGGTATGACTTCAGTAAGAACAGCAAGTCCGTCACATGAGGGGGGAGGGGGAGGAGCGAAGCGACACGTATTGCGCCCACCCAACGGAGCTAACTTGAACACGTCCAGTACGGCTGTGTTTGTGCCTGCGAGAAGTGCAATATTGAGCTGCGTCTACTTAGTATATTGATCCCCTGATGGGTTTGATAATGTATATGTGTGTGGCAGCTGATAGAAATGCCTAAGAAGAAACGAGGAGCACACGGTCGCAAAAAACGCTCCCGTGGGGGTACAAGAAAACATAAAGCTCACAATGTACAACATCAGCCCACTACAAATTTATACAGCGCGAGCAGTAACAGTTTTAATGGTGTCTTTGAAGAGTGTTCTTGTGATGAGTGTAGGGGCGTCAGTACTGCAAGGTACTCTGAGGTGACAGACCAGAGATATTCTGAGGTTACTGAACAAAGAGATTCTGGGGTGACGGACCGGAGATATTCTGGGGTGACAGACCGGAGATATTCTGGGGTGACAGACCGGAGATATTCTGGGGTGACAGACCGGAGATATTCTGGGGTGACAGACCAGAGATATTCTGAGGTTACTGAACAAAGAGATTCTGAAGTGACAGAAATAAATTCTGAGGTGACTGAACAGAGATATTCTGAGGTGACTGAACAAAGTGATTCTGAGGTGACTGAGCAGAGATATTCTGAGGTTACTGAACAAAGAGATTCTGAAGTGACAGAAATAAATTCTGAGGTGACTGAACAGAGATATTCTGAGGTGACTGAACAAAGTGATTCTGAGGTGACTGAGCAGAGATATTCTGAGGTTACTGAACAAAGAGATTCACTGACAGAAACAGATTCTGAGGGGACTGAACTAAGAAGCCCCGCAGAAGAGGAGGAAATTACCTATATTGAAGACAACCGAGTGTGTTGTGTGTCACGGTCATACGATGGTGTCAACGATAACGTGTTCGCCCTATTATCAGAGAGAGTTGCCTCAGTAGAAAAGGACTTGAAATCTTTGCTGAGAGAGGTGATGGATATCAAAGGAACTGTAAAGGATGTGGTGCGCCCAAGTGCCAACAGAGAACAAATTACAGGTAACAGGGAGTTAGATGCTTGAGAAGTTTAGTCCAAGTAGGGGAAATCCTGGTTGAGAGGTGATTTTAGAACGTGTAAATAATACCCAGCCAGCGGCGCCTGATTCACTTAACATATGACTAGAAATGCTCTTCAGTATAATTATACAAGCTGTTACTGGTAGGGACAGGGTTTCGGTGAATTAGGGAGTTTAAGGGTGATTTCATCTCATTTCTGAAATATGTTTACACCCTAAGTAATGACTTTTGAAAATTAGTTATTTTGACCCTTGGTGGCCAAGCGTCGTGTGTAGCGAGCTTGGCAGGGTGAAAGTGATCACAGCACCCTATTAAACGGCGCCCTGTATTCAACAATGACACTAATATCTTCGTTAACTAAACTCAAGGTGCAGCAGATCAGCAATTACCTTAATCTACCTAAGTTAATTTTCTTGACTTCAGTGGTCATGTTCGTATGTCAATGTCACCCATGTACAGTAGCTAAATCAACTGTCTGTGGATACTTTGTGAGAAACAATATGACCATGGACGATAAATTTTGGTATATGAGGGCTGTCACTAGTAACACGTAAAATTTGTATTTTCAAATTGCGCTATCATTAAACTTAAATACGAAAAATAAATTCAGGATGTAACATAATAAAATGTGGGAACGCGTTGGAACTGGCTACTGTATAAGTACAGAAACATGATAGGAATTCTCTGTATACTAACAGTTAGTCTAAAAGTTCCTTCCAGTTTCAACTGTTCTGACTTTAACTTCAGAAATTAAAGTACTATGCTGTTTTGGCTGGTAGTTATTTAAACCCACATGTAGCTAAGATGATCAACAAATCTGATTACCATCCCACGGAAATTGTTCTCACTGTCCTTATGACTCAAATATGTACTTCATTTAGGGAGTAAGTTTCTAAATAACACTCCAGTAGTATCTGGCAGCGACGGCCATCAGCGCACGCGCCTCACTGCTTATGGATTTTGTTTACACGTTGGAGTCCGCCGTCGACAAAATTACCTTTATACGTTTTGTGCAATATATCTGTTTGGCGTTAGTCTTCGTCAATCTCTAAGTATGGAAGTTCCTGCTTCAGACGTAGGGGTCATGTGGGCGAGCGGGGAAGGTGGAGAGAGACGGGAGAAAGACAAAGGAGCGGTGGGAGGTGGAAAAGGAAACGAAGAATGGAGGATTGGCGGTCCTACAGCACTGGCCGGCGACGCTGATGGTCTCAACTCTGCCCAGCCTGGTGAGTGATGTCTCCCCGCTGTGTAAAACTAGATCTTAAGTGGTTATCTCGAGCAGGATTATACATTCTCACTGTGTACGTGTACCTATGTGGGCCTAGTTGAGTGTCGCTAGGTACAAGACCCAATTGGCGATTTGTATATTTCCTTCTAAATTTATTGTATGTATAAAATAAAAAAAAGGCTAAAATTAAACCATTTATGGTGTAGATGACCAACCAACCAGTCTAATCTACCTTGTAAGTTAAATAAACCAAAATATGAAAGAATATAAGTAGGTTTGTGCCAGGTTTGGTTAGCTTATTTTTGTTACCCAATAAAGTGTTGTTATTGAGATGCCATTCATGTTTGGTGCAATTACAGGAGAAGAATAGGTGTATTGTTATAATAAAATGCCAGTCCAAGTGTGACATCTGCAGGCGGGCCATTTGAAAATAAAGAGTTGTCAATGTTGATGCTCATCCTTCAGTGACATGAAAAACTACTTTTATAGAGACCAACACATTCATGGGTTAAACGGGTCCTCAAAATTACTTCACCAAGAGCACTCTATGAAGAAACAGTTATGCTTTAAGTTCACTTTCGTTTCGTAGCCTCTAAACAATTTACCGTTCTTTAGTACATTTGAGCATACTGTATACTGTACTGAGAATTCAGGTTTTAAATGCAGGTTAGGTGTTAGATGGTAACCTTCTCGTGGATTCATTCTCGGGTTTGATTCTTTGGTGTAGACTGGTTGGTGATTGCAGTCTATCAGTGTTTATTTTATCTCACTCAGGAAGACATCTTGGTAAACATTTGGCAACTGAGTGGATATAGTGTACAATATAGTGTCAACATTGATTAATTGTTGTCTTTTAAACCCTAGAGCTTCAGTGACACCACCACCTTCCTCTTTTAGCTGAACTTGTATTACAAGAGCCTCATGTCTTAAGGGTGATACCAGAAATGGAGGATAGATCCTAAAATCCCTTGGTCTTGGTAGAGCATGTACAGTAGACAGGCTGTTTGGAACCCAACTTCCATCCTCTTTGAGTTCATAACTGCTGGAACTAAACAGAAAGTAGCTTATTGACTTGGAATCAAATATGACGGAGGATAGCCTTAACTTGGTGAATGCTGATAAAGGAATCGTGTCTAGTAAGACCTCCAGCTGTTAGGAGCAACCATCACCAAGTCCCCCTTATTCGAAGTTAACAGCTTAAAACGTTGGGAAGGTAATTGGTACGTATATCCAATTAAATTAACAAATTCACCATAGCTGATGTTAGTGGGGGACTCTTGGTAAATTGCCCTTTATTATGAGCAGTGTTCCGTCTAAGCTGCACAGTTGCACAGCAGTCCATCAAGTGCTGTGCACTTAATTTTTCCAGCTGCACATATCGTCTGCAACAGCGACATCACTTCAGCCTGGGAAATTGTGACAGTAGGACACGTGGCTGAGGGGTAACTGTATTTTCACCAAGTATTCGGTAAGATTAATAGCATTTACACGTTAATAAATCTGTGCTTTACAATGTAAATTATCAGCTGTATCCAAGTGCTAAGGTAAGGGAAGCACATCCACACATTGCCTACATACTGGTGCACCTAAAATTCATTCTGCACTTATATTGAAAATTATAGGAATCTTAATTTTGAGTACCCTCTGCCTATGGACTGCTAGAAAAGGGAATTTTAGGGTCAGTCCTCCATTTCTTAAGCACCATACAGTACAGTATTGCTAAGTTTGGAAATTTCACATACAGATGCATCTTGCTTTTGCAACAAAATGACCCAATATACAGCTCCTCCCCGATTTACGACCACCCGCACTTACGACCTGCCTCATTTGTACCAAAATTTTGTCAAGTTACGTATTTTCGAGTCCCAACGTCAATACACAGACAAAATTTTCGTTTGTAATTCACTTTAAATGGCTGGCAAGCTTAAAAGTGAGGGTTTTGTGGTGCTGAGAAGAAAAAGACACCCATTTTAGATTTTCTATGTATTAAGCATTTTCGACTTCGACCATTTCGACTTACGACCTGGATTTGGGTCCCTAACCCCATTGTAAGTCAGGGAGGAGCTGTATTTGTATATTAGGGCCTGAAATAAAAATCCTGTGTTTCTGGTAATGGGTTGAAAAAATGGGGTAGGTTGAAGTCTCTTGAATATAGAAATGTTTTTGAAATACTGTTGTTTATCATAAAATTATTAGGGTTGGGTTGCTGGAACACAATGTTGTTGTTTTGGCCTCATGACTTAGGTTAGTTAACCTTTGTATTTAGCTCCTTATGAGGTATGTACAACCAGGTTGGATAAAGCACCAGAAAAAAATGGAGACCTCTGGTGTTTTCCTCTGTGATCTTCTGCCCACCACCCTCACTGCCAGTCCCACATGAAGTGATGCGTGGATAGTTTTACTTTATAGTAAATTCGACCGTATTGCCACATCTATTCTGAGTAACTGAGTCTCTCTTGGGATACAGAGGTAGTGTCCCTTTCCTTTTATGAATGAATCTCGATTTTCACCATAGTGGTGCTTTGTGCACTCAGGTTGTATGTGCTCCATACAGTGGATAGTCTCATTTACGTGCATTTTAAGTTGCTGTTGTGTTATGGGTAACATTTTATTTTTCTTGTAAAGCAAGAAATTTAGATTTTTAGAAAATGGTGGTCATACAAAGGAAAACTTATTTCTTTTCTCCTTTTTCTCCAGGAAATGCTGATGTTGGACACCAAAATGGTCTCAGAGATGTGGGTAACATGATGACTGGACAAGAAAATGGTGAAGGGGATAGAGCTGCTGCCCTGAAGCGGAGCGTTTCAGGCGATGTGGAGTTACCAGACGCACAAAATGGTGAGTGAATGAATAGTCATTTATGCTCTGAATTCAACCTTTATTAATAAAGTTATACCAAAATTTGCAGATCCAGAGATTTGGTACTTGGTTAAAATATGATTCTTGATTGCACTAGTGTACAGGTATATGGGAGGAGATTTGAGATTTTATACTCTTTTGACATACTGTATTGAGTTTCATTACTCTTTGAACCCATTCTGTCATTTTCATCAAATGTAGTGTAACAGCAGTAATTTGACACTTGGTAACTATATTCGTACTGTTGTATCAGAACAATGTAAGTGTAAAGAGTAGATGTATAATTTCTTGGCATTCACTCAGAGCCTGCCATCAAAAGGAGGAAGACGGGGCCGCCACAGCCCAAGAATCCTATCAGTACTCTCAATGAGCTGCGTCCTGGCCTGATATACAAGACTCTGGGCATGGAAGGGCCGTCCCATGCTCCAGTGTTCACTGTGACTGTAGAGGTGAGAAATTTCATTCATGGTTTTAACCGATCTGTAAGATATAACTGAGAGGGCAGTTATCACAATTTGTCCATCAGTGCCTGCATCTGTGGTCTTATGTCAACTGTGTGGTATTTTTTTACATGTACAGCAAATACAGGAGTTATAAGTGACAATGAAGGAATAAGAGTTAATGGTAAAGTACTGTTATACCAAATACTGTATATGTTGTGCAGGTGATACTGCTTTTATCACAGATAGTGAAGAGGCATTACAAAACTGGTTAACAGATTAGTGGAAAAAGATGGAGAATATGGGTTGAGAGTTAATGCTGTAAAGAAAAAAATAATGGTTGTTTCCAAATTGTAAGTTGAACTTCAACAAGGATTCAGTTTGAACCCTCTCCAGAGCTTCCTCTGCACCTATCCAAATAATACTACTGTATTTGTGTAATATTCAAGAAAACATCATGCAAATAAGCGAAACATTGACAATTTGCCATCTTTCACCCATAGTGTCTTTTATATGCACTTTCAAAGCAGTTTTTTATGGGGTAATCAGTTGCGAAACATAGCCCCTTTTTTATTGTAAATTGGTAGAGTACTGGTCAGTGGTTGTCTTTAGTTAATTGATTACACTACTAGACAATAAATTTAGCATATTGTACACATCGTAGTTTGCTGAAGTGACAGGCTACGTGTGGAAGCTAAACAATGCAGGATTATCTTGACACAATTCCTCGTTCATGCATTAGCTGTTTCTTTTATGTATACCCTCAGTATGGAGCATATCGTGGTATGTCTGTGTGTCTTATCTTTTTGGTTTTCTCATAGCCTTTGTTTTATGCATATCACAATCACCGGACTTAATAGGTAGTTGCCCTTACAGAAAACAAAAGCCCATTAATAGGGGAACTTTTTTTATTGTTCTTAATTTTTAACAGACAAGGATTGGTTAAAAAGATGAGGAAACATGTACAGTATATTCAACCATTAAAATAGTGCCAGGGTACAGTAAACCCTCCTGGATTAATTAAAAAAAAATGGTACAAATTTGGATAGAATAATTCTGTTCCACTTGAAAGTACAATCTGACAACATTCATGCAATTTAATGTCAGAATGTCAATTTGATGTTAGTCACCGTATAAATTTATTGAAACTGTAGTGAGCATTCAAAATTAATTTCAGTATTGTAATACTTGTCCAACCTGTATATACGGTATATATATAATGCCACCTCCCATCTTCTAGGTGGCTTCTGATATGTGATTCACAGTGTTCAGGGCATTGGGTTTTAGATGAAGAATTTATTCTGAAATCTCATTTTTATGGCTGAGCCTTTAACTAAACAAGTTGTTCTCCCTCCTACCAGTGGGTAACATAGAAGTTAGCTGGAACTAAATAGATAGAAGACTGGGTTTACAAAAGGGTAAACCTAATTTACACATACTGTTATGATGTCAGAACTTGTTACCTTCTACACAAGTACAGTACTGTAGTGGTTTTTGCTTCTTTGATCCTTATTTGGGTTATGATGAGAAGGCAAAACTTAGTAATGTATTAATCTCAGCCATTAATGTTTATGGATGTGTGTTTCCAACCCTCAGACTTGGTGCTCTAATACATGTTATTTAATTATGGGCTAAGAAATAACCATTTCAGTGTCACTCCTTCATTTGTGATCATATCAAGTTCATATTGTCATTGGTTGACTTTTATGATTATCTTTCCAGCTCAATGGTCAGGTTTTCCAAGGTTCAGGGCGCAGTAAGAAGCTAGCCAAACACTCTGCAGCCGAAGCTGCCCTCAGGTCATTTCTTCAGTTCCGCAATGCTTCAGATGCTGCTGAAGCCCTTGGCACTAATATTACAGCAGTGCAAGACTTCACTAGTGATGTGTCTGAACCAGGGTTTGGAACAAATTCGGCTGTAGGCGTAAGTGTGGTGATTCAAACAATTAATTTGAGATTTTGTTTTTCTTTTGTGTTTATTTTTAAGCCATTTCACAGCCCATTCTTAGTTTACTAATATGGTTTAAAATTCTGATAGAATTCTTTGTCTTATGAGTTATTGGCATTTTAAGTCCCTTTTTTCTGTAAGTAGATTTACTTTATGTAAATACATAATATATATAACTTCATATATATACAGTATATATCTTAAAATATTTTTTCAATTCCTTAAGTAATTTGCTTGATAGCCTTTGATATTTTTATGAATCATTTTGCCTACTGGTAGGTTTATTTTAGGTATTATATTAAAGCAATTCTGAGAAGAGTAGTTTTCCTCCATTTTCTACTTTATTATAACCGAAGGTGGCTAATTTGGCACATTTCCAGGCTTCAACCCATCACTCGTGTGACTAAGTAAATATACAAACATGCTCCCATAATGAGCAAGGGTGTTGTATGGTCTCGATCATCGGGAAGATTCGTTGGTAGTAGATAGATGAATTTGGGTCGTAAGCTGAAGTGCACCATCATATTGTCAGGAGTATTTTGCTGCTGCTTTGTGTATTGCAATGGAATGCTGCCTGAATTAGTGACTGCCTCTTCATTTTATCGTTAGCTAATCTTTGCATTCTTTTGGACTGAGGATATGTTTGTTCTTGGGCAAATGTTGCATAGAAAGTTTAGTTATGCATTTTTATGTTGAGTATTTTCTGATTAGTTCTTTTTTAATAGTTGTGTTATTGTTCCATCAGTGCGTGACTGTTGTTGATAATGAAACATGTCATATCTTCAAGATATTGTTGCTGTTTTTACAAAGATTTTCAGAGTTTATTTCAACTATCTTGCATAATAAACAAGATCTGGGTAAAATGCACCTTGCACTTTTCCAAGTAGGTGGCGGTGTATAGTTAAGAATGTGTAGGTCTCTAGTAAGATGGTGAACATTAGCATTCTGAAGCAAGTCAGGTGCCACAAAGGCTTGGTGGCACCTGACTGACTTTGTGACAATGTATGGTTGGTTATCTGATGTATCTTTGATATTAAAAATGGGAGCTACTCTAGATATGGGAAAATGTGTATACAGTAACTGTCTTACAGGTACTGTACTGCAAACCCCTCGGACTATCTTAATTTCAATGTTATCATTTAGATTAACAAAGATTATTGGGATATGTTGTCGGTGCTTTTCATGTAAACATCTAGATGAATGGTTTACTCTACAATAATTTCTGCTCTAGTGAGTGCATTGCCACCAGACTTCAAGTATAAATTTCTGTGTACACAGTTAATGAAGCCTATTAATATTAGTTTTAATTTGGGGAGTTGATCATTTTATCTAAAACTAACTGGACTGCAGCTTTCCTATCAAGTGCAGATGGATTCAGAACAAAAAACATCATGAAATTACCATTGGGATAATATAAGAAATTAGATAAAATACTTGGTGTATAAATAAGAAATGAAAGAATTGCTTATTATTACAATTAAGTAAAATGTGTCAGGGTTTAAAGTTTACCACAAGGGTCAATGGTCATTCCACTGGCAGTGTGACAGATTGAGCCATAGCTCAACAAAATTTTTGAGAGATAATGATTGTCAGATTTGTGGGAGATCTTAAGTTTATGTAAAACCCAGTCCAAATTTTTTTAAATTGTCACAGTCAGAAGATGACTTGACTGCTGCATGCTGAGACAACTGCTGAGAATGATTGTACAGTATTTTTCCAGCCACTCATCAGGTCAACTGTGAATAAAAATATACAAGATGTCCTTTTTCAGCAATAGCTCAAACATTTGGATGTCTTTTGTTCGGTCTTATTTAGTAACAAATTTGGTTTCCAAAATACTTGGAAAAGATTTTTAAGCCTTTTACATTAAGTGTGGAATTTTTTTAATTGTCTCTGGAGGATGTTTTTCTAGTATCAAGATTTTGAGTATCAAGTCCTGTGCAGATTGTTTAGTCATGGTATGTCTCCTTCATGAAAAAAATAAAATATACGTTAAAAGTACAACAAAAGTGCTAGAAACACTTGCCAAAAAGATTGCATGGTAATGTTAACCTTTAAACTGAGGAAAAAGAAAACTTGCACCTATTGCATAAAAAAGGATAGGTAATCAAGCGGGACTAGTAGTTAGACAAGAAATGGGGGTGGATTTATGATCAAAATTAATAATGGATCAAAACCCTGAGTAGCAGAGGGAAAGAAAGCAATAGGTCCATTAACAACTGTAGGGAGAGAGAACCTTATCAGAGGATGGGTATTATCTGTGGAGTTTTGAAGCAAGAGGAGAGGGCAAATTAGAAGCTGCAGAAATTATGTGCTTTAGTGAAGTGTGTGGAGTGAACAGAATGAACAGAAAAATATCGAAATAATTGTGAAGAGGTGTTGAGTAGAGAAGAGATGGGGGTGTGCTCAAGTGGTGTGGACATATTGAGAAGTAAAATAGGGGTAACAAGAGTGTTCTAATATAAAGGCGAAGGTCATGAAGAAGAGAAAATGGAGAGTGAGGGGGTGGGTTAAAGTAATTTTCGGGAAGGATATGGTGTTATTAGGTGTTAACTAGCTTCTGGGAGCATTAGAGGTAAATCAGATGGATATTTTAGATCTTGCTGTGTTGGGGAAATACTTTGACAGAACACATCTTGCAGCAGTAAGAATGAATGAGACAAAGTATGTTTGCTTCTTTTTATTGTCTATCCTTCATTATAACAAGATGAAAGAATGAGACAATTATTGGATGGGGAGTTTTTGTTGCTCATGATTGGCTACTGTCTTCATTGTAAAAGGAAAAGACGTATAAAAGTGAAGAAAAAAATAGAAAGCGGTAAATTTCGGTTTGGTGAAAAGGACATTGATCGTACTGAATGGATATTGGTTGAGTGGTCGCTGGGAAAAGTCAGATGGAAGTTTTCAGTCAGATGGAAGTTTTCAGTCACGTGTATCAGATGCATAACTCCTTCGTGCATCTAGATATTAAAGTTGCCAATCTTAGCCTACAGACTTGAGGTTAACGCTGGTTAATCATCTTGTATATGTTCCGATGTATCTTCTGATATGAAGGCTTTTTGTTAAATGGCTTCAAGAGTGGTCTGAATTATCCTGGTTGTATTTTGACGGTGTAGTTGATGTCTGCCAGCGTCTGCAGTTTTGTTTTTCAGTTAATGTGTGGTGTAGTCCCCTCTCTCTGTTCTTACAATTTGATTAAGGAATTTAAGAGTGCAGTTCCCTCTTGTGTTTTCTTTCTTCTTGCCCATGCTCAGTCCTACCCGTGCTGATGGGGGCTGTATATTTGTTGGTTGCAAAAGTGGTGGTGTGAAGCCTGGTGCCAAACCTTCTTTCGGAACGGCCTTGTGCCGTCTTAAGGGTGCCAGTGCATTGGCTTACAGGAGACGACCCCGTCAAGAACGACTACAATCACAATGGACTCCTCTCCAGTGTCCACCAGTCCCACTTCCACAACAGCTCCCTCAGGACCTTCACAGACATCCAAGAATCCCATCATGCTCTTAAATGAGTTAAGGCAGGGAGTGGAGTACACGCTGAAACAAGAGTCAGGAGAGCCGCATGCCAAGACCTTCACTTTCCAAGTTACTGTGGAAGGCCAATTGTTCGAGGGCACAGGTGAGACAAATTAATACCACTTGGGTTATATATATATATATATATATATATATATATATATATATATATATATATATATATATATATATATATATATATATATATATATATATATATATATATATATATATATATATATATATATATATATATATATATGTATATATATATATATTATATATATATATATATATATATATATATATATATATATATATATATATATATATATATATATATATATATATATATACAGTATATATATTGGCAAGAAGAGATTTTTAATTAATTTCATACATTTATTGAACCATACATTATAAACTTTTTTTGGGGGGGAGAACATATTTTGTGCATGTAAATACAATACAGTAGACTGTACTACCGATACTACTCTTTAACTGCATCAAACACTCCTTACAGCATTTGGAAGATAATTAATTTTTAAATTTCCCCCTGCCGTGCGCGAGGGGTGGAAGCAATGGTTGGTAGCGACCCTTTTTTTTTCTTCTTGATCACTATTGCGTATTGTATGATGATTTTATTGCCTTTGTACTACCGGGGGAAGGGTGCGCGAATAGCGACCACACCGGGCACAGGTCGTCGACCCACAACGGGGCCTAGGGGGTGAAAGAAAATAAGAGTTGCATAAGATAGTTGCGTATTGTATGATTTGACTCGATAAATTTCTCATATTCTTTGATATTCCCAGTAGTACATTTAGTATCAAATAAAACGTGTTGAACTAGTGTGAAAAAAGTTATGATTATTTTACTCGATAAATGTATCTTAAAGTAAAAAAAATCGGTACGTTTTCAGATTTAAAAGTACTGTATGTACTGTACAGTAATACAGTACCCAAATTCGACCTTGAGTTTGTGAGTTTGACCACCTTGCTCTCCATGTACTGCTGTCATCTGCCACACGGAGGGTGAGTCAGCTGTTCAGTCCATAACCACACACTTTAATGTACAGTGGTCCCTCGGTTAATGAACACAATTCGTTCCAGAAGGTCGTTCTTTAACCGAAAATTTCGTTAACCGAATCCATTGTTTCAATGGGATATTGGGTAATTGGTTCCAGCTCACCGAAAAATACATACAAAGTAACAAAAAAAATGCAGTAAAGTACACTTACTTTGAGGTGTGTATGTAGAAGGTTCCTGGTTGATGATGATGATGATGATGATGGGAATTACAAGTGGGGTGGAGGAGAAGGGTGAAGAGAAGGAAGTGGGGATGGAGGAGAAATCACCTTTCAGGGGACCCATGCTTGATGCCGTCATTTCACCAATAAAATTTTAAGTTCACTAGGTGTAATTCAAGATTATTTTCTTCAAATCAACACTGCTCTGCGCTATATATTATCAATATGTTAACTAAAGTTCAGAATGACCAATAATTTCAATGAAAAATACTAAAATATTCAAGACACCAACAAAATAGTTGCTCTCTCCACTGTTTTCAAAGTTTCAACTGACGCCTTGTGACCGACTCGCGCATCTGATGGGTGCACAACAAACTAGTTCCCTGTACTGCATATATTATCAATATGTTAAATAAATGTTAAAATGACTAATAATTTCAATATATAATATGCAAAAATATTAAATAGCACACTTTTATTGATATTTACTCCATTGGAAACGAATGTAAACATAGAACAGATTACTGAATTGGCAGAATAGCCCATCAGCTGATGCTCACAGCAAAACGTGATTTTGGTAAGGATTTCGTTAATCGAATTTTTGTTTGTTAACTGAATTGAAGATTCTCATGAAAGGTAATTCGCTAACCGAAATTTCGTTAACCGAGGGACCACTGTATTAGATTGATATATAAAGGTTGGCTTGGTAAATTAAAATTAGTCAAATATATTTTTTTTCATCAATTACGTATTAAATTTTTAATTGCACTATATTATTGAGTAACTGTATTTGGTATGTAATGTACAAGTAAAATAAAATATGTGGCAATACAGCTCACATGATGAAGGTAGCCAGTCACGATGTTAATGCCACCACTCCACACCCCTGCTGACAGACAGACATTTACAGTCTTCAGTTATATGCCTGAAAGGTATTATAGTTAGCCACTAATCAAGCAGGAAAAGAATGATAGTGGTGGTGATGCACAACTCTTGCATAGAGTTGTGTTAAAAGCTTGCTATATAAATTTTTTTCTCCCTTGGAAGGGTACCCCAACCATGCTTAGTGAAATTTGAACCGCCCATCAGGTGGTAAAATGTTCGTCTATTGTATATACAGCAAGCCCTGACAATTCGCGTATTTTTAATTCACGGACCTCGATTATTAATGGGACACCCTGGATATACCCAAGCATGTATGCGGGTAGTTTTAAAGTTGCCGGCATTGTCGCGGCTAGGACAGGGAGCCATTCGTTCTAGAGACAGTAATTTCTTTTACGTGTGTGTGTGTGGGGGGGTGGCGGTGTGTGTGGGTGGACGGAGTTGTTCCTTGCATTCTTTCTACATTTTGTGGTCTTGTTTCTCATTATTTGTGAGAGGATTTTCCTATCATCATTTATTTGTATGTTTTGTGTGTACACACACACACACACACATACACAAAATACAGGTGAAATAAATAATTGTCCTAAGGGCAAACACAAAGGGAATACAGTATACATTTCTTTGCACACGAGAAAAAAAATGTAACAACCCTACCTCCACCTGGTCAGCAAATGTCAAAAATGTCATTCATGGATTTGGCCATTTTGAGACCCAAACCCCTGCAAATTTTAAAGGTATGCTGTACAGTGCATAAAAATGTTGATTGAAATTAGCGATGTTGTTAAGGGACATAATAAAGGCATGTAGTACGGTTTATGAATTTGGGAACAGAAAGTTGAGAATATGACTAAGGGTATGGAAAGCACAAGCCATAAAGAAAGACAGTTACGTGTTTTGGTAACATGAACCAAGGGTTATGTTGGGTTTTTCTTTAACTTGACCTACATTTGAGCCTTCTCTCTTAATTTGTAATTTTTACAGAACCATGAAATAAGATACAGTCCTGCATTTTATGGAAATATCCAGAGTGGCAGCCAGTCATGTGACCTCTTACTTGTGATAATTATGTAAGCCAGTTGAATATATTACTTATGTGCTTCTCTTTGGGCCCACTGAGGATAAACCTGTTCAAGTTGATGTATGTTGCTAGGATTTTGAAAGAATTTGCCTTTAGGACATTTTATTTGTACTGAAACCTTGTTGTTTTGAGTCAGGCTTCAATGTTGTTAAATAACTCCTCCTCCTAAGACACATTATTTATTCCATGTTCTCAGTTGCTCAGGACAGATACACCTGGTGGTGGAGTGGTATTTGTATATTCCCTGACCTTATCAAACATTAGGCAAGTGTTTGATCACTGTCTCTTTCCTTTGGTTGCTGTCATGAACATTCTGGTCATCTGGGCACTGTTCAAAAACTGTGGAAGAATTTGGTTGTTTCTGAGAATTTTTAGGGGAGAATACTGAATTTCTGGAGCTGATGGATCTTGGTAACTCTTTAAAATGTTTTAGTTCCTACAAGCCTCGGGTATTGGTCAGGACCAAGTTTTGTCGCTGTCAATGATGTAAAAGTTGTACTGATAGATACTGCAATCTTATCTGTTGGTCATCCAGGAAAGACTTAAAATGACTTTAATTGTAATTGTTTGGAAGTAGTTCAAGAAATCACAGTAATTGAGGATCCTCTTTGATATGGTACTACAGTATTGTACTGTACTGTAAATACTCCTGTAACCTCCCTTCACAAATAGTGTTGAAAATCCGAGGCAAAATGTGTAACTCGAGAAATGATCCATTTGTCTACTTGCAGGACTCAATTCTCTGATTTTGTTCCACAAAACAAAAAATGATAAACCTCGAGTAGTTACACCTGAAGGCCATTCTTTGCCTCAATATATTCTTGCCCCAGATATATCTACCCTCATTTCATCAAAAATTTCCGATAATAAATAAAAACAAATTATTTTAATTTTTCATTCATTTCCAGTGTCGCAACTTGTATTACTTTCCAAGTACAGTACACAAAATCTTCCACCTTTTAATGTTCCCTTTTACCTATTTTATTTTTTACAATAATTTTAATTTTATTTTTAATTTAAAAATGACAAAGGCTTCCATATTTACAGCATTTTACTTAATCTGAATTTTGTCATCTAATTTCACTCATCATTCAGCAGTCAGAGCAACATCACCTGTATACTTGATCTTTTATTGTTGCTACAATTTCCCCATTAAGAATTATGGAGATGATTAGAAGGTTGGATAGCTTAGTCTTGTATAACCCTAAACCAACAACTGCACTGTACAGTTCCTGATTCTATGTGTATGCAATTTAATAGAAATACTGATTTTTGGGAATGGATGTGGTCTGCTACTTATGGTTGGCACTGTTAAGAGAATGTGTTGTCTATGGTTCTTCCCTGCCATCTTCAACCTCCTTTTTGCCCTCCCCAGTCAGTGCTCAGCCTTACTAGGTGAAATATTGGTTCCTGCCCCAGTTTTTTTTTTTTTTTCCAAAAAATGATCGATTGCCCAACAGCGTTAGTGCAAAACAGACAAGCTACTCACCGAGGCAGGTGAAACTGAATGTAAGCTTGAGGAGTATGGGGTAGGAGAAATTACAGTTTGCATTTTAAAGACAAAGAGCACATGAAGTTTTATGCTGAAACAGAATCAAACAAAGGAGAATCGGGGTGGGGGTAAACCTCTTTCAGGACCGGTGATCATGGAGAAAACGAAGCAATTTCATCATCAAATGAGTTTCGAAGAGCCTTGACCTTACTATTGGGTGGATAATTCTCTTCAAAAGGAGGCTTGTGCTTTGAAAGCTAGTTGTTTCTTAAGAAAAATGGACGGCATGAGGTTGTCAGGAACTGTGCTATATAAACAGTGGAGCAGTGATGGTGTGTGTGTGCGTGTGTATGTGTGTGTGCGTGTGTGTGTGTGTGTAGGAGCATCCAGAGAGGGGGAAAGCATTTGTAATGACTGAAGATACATACTTGTACTGTACTTGTTTTATTGCATAATTTTCAAGGGTTTGACTATTACTGTATTATGCATACAGTGCCATTTTATAACTGGGTTGTAGATCAGTTTTACTTGTACAGTTTTACATTTTAAGGGTAAGAAATATTTAAATGTGTATCATACCATAACTTTAAATTGTTTTTGAACATCTGTCTGTTTAATGTATAAATGTCATCACCTCTGGATTAGTAGATGTTTAACCATTTTTTGTTATATATAAAAAAGTAGTGTTGTTAATTTTAAAGGCATTTACAATGTATCTAAAGAATTTACACCCATTTTACTAGCCAAAAGATTATCCTTTTATTCTCAGGCCTAAGAACTGGATCAGCATCTGAATCTTTATCAGCAGTAGTCGATGTGCTCCTGCTGTCTAGCACGACTCTTTTTAGCAGCTTATCCATTCTTACATCTTTCTTCCGCTTTCGGTTATGTTCATTGGACAGGTACATTTGCTTCTTTTCCTTCTTTAGTTTTAGAACCATGTGGCCCTTCTCACACTGGGCATGGAGAATTTGTTTGTCCTAGATGATTATAATGATGTTGAGGGCATTGGTGTGGGTGATGTCGAAAAGATCTTCAAAGCAATCATTGAAGTCCCACATTGCTGGCCTGCTTTGCCACCTTAAGATAGGCGTTTTTCTTCAATGCCACCCACCGATAGTAAAGCTTCTCCATCTTCACTGCATCCTGCTTGTGCTGGACTGGGAATCCCACATCATTCCAAAACTCTTGGATCTTTTCAATCGTTATTGAGGCTGCCTCACGTATAATTTTCTTCTGTTCAGTGTGTAAGTAAAGGAAGTTTGTTAGAGCCTGCCTATTGGATGGCAGTTTAGTCCCTATGGTATCTTCTTCATACTTGTTTGTCAAATATACCTGTACTGTGTATGTTTGAGGGGGGATCACTGAATTAGCCTTTGTAGCTAGTCAAGCTGTTGTTTATGATATCACTATATGCATAATTTCAAAGTTTCCTTGTTATTTTATACAAATTCCAAAAAGTTCCCCCCCCCCCCCAAAAAAAATAAATAAATAAATAAAAAATAGTTTAGCTCAGTCTACATCAAAGAATACATTTATCTACAGTTTCTCCTTTAAACTTGAAGACTGAAAAGTTCACATCAAAACATACTGATGTTCATTTGCCATATGGGGTGAATAGCGCCAGAGCCTCCACTGCTTCTTGAAGTGTAAACAAACCAAAAAATGAACTCGGGGGTTTTAGCCTGAAGAACCACCTAGCATGAACAATTACTGTACGGTGTTATTGGTAATTTTAGCAGTGCTCAGTAGTTCATTCATGTTAAAATCAAACACAATTCAATGAGTAGGAGGGATAATATCATATACTGTACATTTCTTTGGTAAAGGGTGGTATCAAATTTTACATTAGTTTCAACTAGTATTTAAACATCATTGTAGGCTTGAAGGGAATTCCAAATAGGAGTGGTCTTTGGCAATACAACTTGGAAAGTAATAAAATCATCTCTAGTATTCTTTGTCCATATAATAAAGAAATAATAATTAATTATAGAAAAATAATCCCATAACCATATACAGTATTGTATAATTGTGTGCTTTTGTCTTCAGTCTCTCTCACGTCTTGGGTTTGTGTATAATTTCTCCTAATTTCTCCTGAGCTTAGTCATTGACCAACTGCTAATTTGTGTGGGGTTAAATCAGAATCCGTTTATTTAATAAGTTGTTAACTATATACGTCCTCTTAAATGCAGATATATGTAGTAACATGTTTATTTACAGTTTTATTTATTTTTATTTCCTACAACTCTCTAAAAATAACAAAATTCTGTTCCTCAAGTCGTGCAAAATGGCCTCTGAATGGTGCTCTTACTCAGCTAGAGTGACCCTCTGCTGTCACTTGCAATGTGGAAGAAAATTGTCCTATCCAGTGTTAACAGTTTAACCAATTGTGATTTGGGAACTCTTATTCCAAGGTAGTTACCATTGTATATTAAAGTTCAAGATTGAGTGAGGTAGTGTTTATTTTTTATTTCCCATATTTTCTGTATTTTATCATGTGTTCTGATTTTATGTCCATTATAAACCTGTACCCTAATTTTCTATCTATCGTGTACTCCAGTCTCGTCAACCCACTGTCTTCCTGAAGACTGTGAGGGGCAGCTGGCAAAGTTAGCTTATGGAGGATATTGGTGCTGAAAAGGATAATATAAAATTGCTCAGTTTCTGCTTTTTTCCATCAAGTTTATAATTACTGGCATCAGTATATTCTATTAACCTCTGCTTTAATGCAGACTAAAACACTGGTACAGTACATGCATATTGCACCCAACTGTGCATTAATACCACCATTTCATGTTACCTTTAAGAACTTCGTCTAATTCTATTCTCATGGAAACGCATTATTACCAAGTACATTGTCCACAGGCAACAGCAAGAAATTGGCCAAGGCAGCAGCTGCTCGTCAAGCCCTTAGCAAGCTGTATGGAGTTATTTCTACACCTACAGCAGTTCTTCATCACACACCCATCTCCAACATGCCAAATATTCATATGCCACAGACATTAGCTGACAGGGTAGCAAAGTAAGTACAGTACAGTATAATGTTGCATGATTACCTCTTAGCTGAATCTCAGTACTGTGCATAATTTGATAATGGGCCTTAGGCATATTAGGTGTGTATACAGTTGCTTATAATTGTTAGACATTAAGAATTTGTTTATAGAAATATGATACAGAAGATTGTGAAAGTTAATAAAGTTTTGTGTGGTTCTAAACTTACTTTCAGAATGGTTTGTGATAAATTCTCAGAGCTGACGTCTGGTAATCCAACCCTTGCCAAGCGAAAGGTTCTGGCAGGTATTGTGTTGACCAATGAAAAGGACATGGAGGATATGAAGGTTTGTTTATTCCTGAAGAATTTTTCAATACATATTTTAGAAGCATTTTCCTTGGGATTAACCTTTCATGAAATACTGTAATGGGTGTGACTAGTATTTATTTGTTAGTTATACTACAAGGAAATAATCTTCCTTCTCTATTATTTGCCTTTTCAATGGTTTTGTCTTAATTTTGAGCCTACTCATGAATATGAAAACTGTTTTACTCTACTAGTTACAGGGTTTGAAAAAATGAATTATAATGACAAATATGGGTTAACATTTTTAGTTGGCTTTATGCCTGCTTTGTAATCTGTTCACAAAAATTAAACTCATTATCCACTTAATGTCATGTTTTTGGTGAAAAATGTAAATTCCTCTCAACAGTTGTTCTGCTTAGTGTGCTTGGGCGGATGGGTAGTAATACCTTCGTTAATGAAGTGGATATATTCCATGACTTCACTTTTTTGTCAGTAAAACATTGTTACTTGAGGTTGGTATAACATAGGAGGCATAGGGATGCATTTCAGAAATTATGAGAGGGGGGGGGAGATTCGGTAAGAAAGTATCATTAGCGAGAGATGCTGGGTGGGTTGGCTCAAGCATAAGGGCGGTTCAGGGGGTCAGACACATGGAAGTGGGGTCGCGTACTATGGATGTGCATACTCTGCGACCCTACTGTATACCTAAGCAAACAAACTTTTCAATTATTTTTAAACTGTTTATATGAATTTTTCAGTTTTTAATTATTGTTTTTTGTGTACTTCATTTTAAAGAAGCTTCATTCCTTAACAAAGCTATTGTAAAAAGCAAGATATACTAATTATGAAGAGCTCAAAAAGTTTTTATTTTCACACTGGTTATAACATTTTTGATTGCGAAATTACGTCTTGAATTGACAATACTGGAGTCATGGCACATTACTACTTTTCTCCTTCCTTTGTGGATTACCAGTGATCATTTTGTGCATTCCTTGTTCCCTTTACCATTATGCCTCACAAACTGTATATGATTTGTAATCAAATACGTAAAACTAAATTTTTCTTTGCAGGTGATAAGCGTAGCGACTGGCACAAAGTGTATCAATGGTGAACATCTTAGTCTTCAAGGCCAGTGTATTAATGACTGCCATGCGGAGATTGTGGCTCGTAGATGTCTTCGTCACTTCCTTTATTCACAGTTAGGAAAGCTTGCAGAATCATATAAGAATGGTTTGTATGCTTGTTTGCTTTTATATTCATTTATTTTTTATTTTTTAATACCATATACAGGCAATCCCAGAGTTACTAACACCCGCACTTACAAACAGGACCCCATTATATTCATAAAAAAATCTGTAACTGAAAATCCCATCTTTTACATTATACTTTCATTATTCTTTATTGTTTAACATCATTTCAATTACAGGATTTATATATTTTGTTATGTATGGATTTTTATTGTTTTGTATAGGCAAAGCTGTAACTAAATTCCCATTTTTTTTACATGACTATGTTTTTTAACGTAACTTTATTTACTGCATTTACATTACTTGTTATCTATGGGATAATTTTTTGTTTTGTATGGGTAGGGTTGTGCTTTAACCTAAACTGTGGGATTAACACCTCTGGCTTATGAAGAGGGTCCAGGAACGTATCCCATTCGTAACTTGGGTACTGCCTCTACAGTACAGTATATACACACACACACGATGATTGTCTGACCTACAGGTGGTTACTCCTCAGAAACCTTTCTGGATTAGATCATGTCCAATCAGTTACTTAAGGATGGTTTCTAACCTGACCTCCAGTCTTGACGAGTTTTTCCGTTAAATAAATGACAAATCACTTATGTCTACAGATTTGTTTTTCATGTAATAATAAATTTGTGTTTTAAGTACTGGGAGTAATTAATAATATGCTTGTATATGAAGCTGCTATATATTGTTTTTCTGTCTGAAGGATTGTATAAATTCACATAAAACCGAGTTGTTAGTCATTCTCTCTCTCCTATCCAGGATCAACTGCAGAAACTATATTTGAGCAATTAGAGGACCAGAAAGGATTCCGAGTCTGCCCAGAATACAAATTTCATCTTTATATTAACACTGCTCCATGTGGTGATGCGAGAATCTTTGCTCCACATGAAGAAGAAGTTGATCGAACGGACAGACATCCTAACAGGCAAAGTCGTGGGTTGCTTCGAACAAAAATAGAGTCTGGAGAGGGCACAATACCTATTAAGGTAAGTTTAGGTATTCTTATATGGCAGATTTGACAGTTTTCTGTATAAAATCAGGATAAGCTTGCCTACCCATCAAAATAAACTTGGCTATTTACATGACAATATAAGCTTAATTATGGAACATCAGAGTATGTAATCATATTTATAACATCAAAAGGACACAAGAGATATATTTAACATCTGAGTTTGGCAGGAAGTGTGCTGCATATATATTTTTTCTTTCCTGTGTGTTTCTTGATGAAATTTTAATTATGAAATTTAATTGATTTAGGCAGTAATTATGGGACTTAAAAAACTTATTTCCAACAGGTGTCATATAATTGCAATTTAATGGACCTATAATTTTTGTTGTTATTGATTCAGATAATACAGTAATTAAATTTTCAGGCTAATGCAGATAATATTCAAACGTGGGATGGAGTCCTACAAGGAGAACGTTTACGTACGATGTCGTGTTCTGATAAAATTGCCAGATGGAACATAGTTGGGCTGCAGGGTTCACTTCTCTCCCACTTCCTTGAACCTATATACCTCGAATCTATAGTCTTAGGATCCTTATTCAGTGCATCACATATGTACAGGTAAGTTCTCCCTATTAATTCAAAACGAGACATTCTAATAGAAATACTGTATATGAATCCTTAATCATGGGTATGGTGCATTTAGTTTGATTCTCAGAAAGATAGTTGAATTGGTATTGTGAATTTCCTGAAGTTTCAAAATTTATTTATTTTATTTATCTATTTATTTACAGAGCGGTTTGTGGCAGAATAGAGCAATCCGTCCAGGGTTTGCCACCGCCATTCAAACTAAACCAGCCAAAAATGAATCAAGGAAGTTCCACTGAATCCCGTCAACCACAAAAAGCTCCTACCATCTCAGTTAATTGGGATTGTGGTCAGTTTTATTCTATTGAAATGTCATGTTAACCCTCTTCTTGCTTACTATGAACAACCTTTTGATCTGAAATTATATACTGTACTTGTGTGTATATCTGTACAGTATAGTATAAATATATATTCTTTAACAAATTTCCTCTTCTCACAGAAGGAAACCAGCTGGAAGTTCTTAATGCAATGACTGGTAGACAAGAAGGGGAGAACTACTCTAGATTGTGCAAGAGACGGTTCCTATCAAAATTTATTGACCTTTTGGATGGTCTCCCAACCTTAACTGAAGTAGACCCAGGGGCGGCTAAGTGTCTCTCATATGGCGAAATCAAAGCTCTTGCCACTAACTATCAAGTACGTATGACTTTTAAGGAATACTTTATAACCATTATTGTTTAGATATATTACATTTTGACAAGGGTAAAAACACCTGTATTAAATGTGTATGATATCTGCAGGTATATAAACCCTCACTATTTTTTAATGAATTTTTTTTTAATCATTGTATAGATTTTTAAATATAAAAACTGGTGGAGTTGTATGCATACTAGTAATTTATGAAATGTATTAATAAATTATGAGATGTGCTAGAGGGAATATTAGTGTTCACAAATATCTGGTATGCCTGTACTGTACAATACAGTACAGTACAGGGGGTATTAACAATCGCACCATGGCATGTCTGCGTCACATCTCGTCCAATTGGTACTGATTCCAATACCACATCACAAAAGAGAAAATTCACCCCCCAAAAATTCCAGTAATTATGTCTGATGCTGTAAGAGCCTTTTCTAAGTAGGAGCAATAACTTGCTTGATTACACTAATACTGCCCAGAGAAGGGCTTTTGTTTCTCAAATGCACCAGTTCTTCTAAAGAATTCACTAGTGCTTGAAACACTACAAAGTCAAAGACTTGAGAATAAAAAGAAATACTGCACTATAATAAAAGAGTGCTACATCTTGAGTACCTGTTAAAGAAGAGAGGAGTTAGTTGAATGAAAAAAATTATATATTAAATGTAGGAGTGTCTTAAGTTGTACTAGATCTTGGCAGCCATTTACTGCTACAGTATTGTGGTAAAGAGCTTTCAAAGAAAGAAAATTATATTTCAGACCAGTAAGCGAGCAGTTGCATCTGCATTCTCCCGAGCAGGACTAGGTCAGTGGATCAGCAAACCCATGGAGGAAGACAGTTTCTATATGTAAGTTCTCCTATTACCTTTCATATTTTAGGGGCTTTGCTTCTTACAGAGTAATGTCATTGACTTTTTGATCATGAACCACAATATTGTTGTGCTTCTGACTTGTGCAGGATTTAATCCTCATTTTATTAACTCCAGTATTGTGCAGTACTTGATTTTCAAAATTTTATCTTTTCTTTGATACAGATAATGCTACCAGCCTGAAACCATCTTGTTTGAGGACATCATGAAAAAACCCTCTCAAAATTTAACAAGATGATGACGAAATAATTTTTTTTTTTTTAGCTAAATGTGTGAATTTTGAGGATCGTATACTCGCCACTGAATGTGTAGGCCACACTGGCTCGGTCATATTTGATGAAAGTTTCGAAGCAAATTTTAGAAATAATCAAATAGAGTTGATAAATGCAGGGTCCTTGTGATGCATTGTCAGTGCAATTCTTCAAATATGTAGCTAAAGTTTCTATGTAACAAAATTTTTTATATTGAACTTCTTTAAACTTAAGTATCGTATCAAATGTACCTCATTAGTCCTTTTTTTTAAAGTCGTTCCGTATATATATTTTTTTTTAGCCGTATCCTTGTTCCAAACATGACTTCTCACAGTTTATAATTTAACGCTTTTTTTGCTTGCTCAACCCGAGATACTGAAATGGTATTTGGAGCATAGCCAACCCACTGAGTATGAATGGTATACAGTAGAAATAGTCCCTAACCTGGAGCTCTCAAAGAGCAGGTTTATAAAACTATTTTTAATGACGGCAAAAAATATGCACAACCTAGGTGGTTGGGATATCTCAAACAGGTTTGTAAAAACTACTTTTATTAACTTGTTTGAAAAATGCACTAGTAGGTGTTGTATTATTTTATCAGAATCATGTACAATATATATAATACACTCATTCCTAAACAAAAATCCCCCATGTACAATGTGTAAGTATGAGAAGTATGTGGCATGACTAGGAATTTGAAAGTTTGTGCTATTTCACCCACTGATCTAAAAGTAAGATTCTTGAGTGGAATATCATACTTGACACACTGAACCTAGACACTTTTTGTGTGTACATGATTGGTCTCCTGATTATATATGTATGCACACAGAGAAAGGAAAAGATTCCATAATTTTAGGATTATCAGAATTACAATAAGTGTAGGACCATCTTTCACTTTTTCAGTGGTTTACGTAGGAACCCATGCTAAACTCGCAACATTGCTGGGCCATGTACAGTATACTTCATCCTAGTACTTTAAAACAGTTTATTTTACAAAGTTATTGGATTTGATTTTGCTCTTACAACCAAGGTTACCATTTTGATTAACTATGTTAATTACATTTGTTTTTGTCTGAAGCCAAATGTGTCTTCATATATTAAGTATTAGATGAACCATGATCTGTAGGTTACAGTTAAGTTAATCATTTTAAGTATTTCAGGTTAAAAGGGAATGTCCATGATATGGATGTTTTTATACTCCCGAAAGATACCATATTACATGCTTACAGTTTGTCTTGAGAGATATGTTTATACTGATATCAAAGCAGATTAGAAAATTTGGGTATGATCAGCAGCATTGCGTTTACAAGGGAAGGAAGGGAGCAATAAAAGAGGTCACTTAACTGTATTGCTGTAGGAATGTTAGATATAAAAATCTTCCAGCCATTAAACTCACCTTGCATGTCATACACTGTTGTATGGTATCTTTGTTGTTATGAAGGCTTAGTTGTTTAAACTGATATATGTTTAGTAAAGATGATAAAATTACAAATTTTAATTATATTGGAAAAAGCTAGTCTAAAATGGCCTACATTCAAGCACATTTTCATTTATTTCCTCAAGAATTATTTTGACAGTACAGTATACACATTAACAAATAAGTCTCCAATGGACAGTTTTGAGGCCTACAGTCCGTCCAGCCAACATCAGATACCCAGAGGTCTTGGTTTGCGAGTTTTCACTGTGCAAATGCAGTGTATCGGAATCTTGCAAGACAGCGTTAATAGCTTGTTTCACATCATTGTTTAAATGAATGTTTACTACAGTACAGTACTTTGTTAAAATAGATAAATTTAATAGCATTTATTTGGTCTAATATGAAGTGGTGTGTCTATGAAGGTTTGTTTGAAATGTAGTAATTACTGTAATGGTATATCAGAGTATGGTTAAGCTTCATTGTAAGGTACTGTACTTAGGGCATATATGAGGTGCTCCGGACTGTAATCTGCCAAGTGCCAACATAGAGGAAGAATTTCCATATTTAAATTGCAATAACTTTTTAACCATTAATGATATCTGACAAATTTTTTCTTGCATAATGTAGCTAAGGACATGTAGTTTTATGCAATATAGCAAAAAGTAATTATTTTAACAAAAATAATTCTAAGGTTATGGTTTTAAAACTAACTAACTGCTACAAAACATATTATTATGTTCTCTGATTAATTTAACTTTATTTTGAATGTATAGTATTATTAAACATGTGAGTAATGGATCGATAATAAATTTAATAAAATCGATATCCACCCCTCTGATGCGCCAGGCACAGATCTGACTTGGTGTGATATTTCCACGGGATCAATGAGGTATTCTCAGGTACTGAATTTATTTTAATGTGGATAAAAAATAAATAAAAATGTCGAGAGGATACTTATTATTTCCATACACAACAGTGTACATGTAGTTAAAAGGATGCAGGCAACCTTGAGCAGCTAATTTTTTTTTTTACTTCCGATGCTACTCCAAGGTACTTTATCAACTAGTTTCTGAATGAATGCATACACTAGAATCCCCCATTTTGGTTACAACAATTAATGAAGAAATAAGGCATTTTAACCAGGCACGTATCACTCGAGATAAATACAATCAAAGCACCTGCAGCATACTCGCTACATGGGTGGCTCCAAGTATAAAAGAAAATACCAATTTGTAATTGGCTGAAACCCTATGATAAGTAAAGCTCCCATTGGCCAAGAATGATGTATGCTAGTATGTCATGTGCTATGTAATGAAGAGACACTGAATAAGATAATTTTTGTTGGCTGACTGCCCGTATAGGAGTGTCCAAGCTTGCTTTTTAGACGACTGTTGCCCACACGTACAGTTTCCTAATTAGCTCTCTGACTTACCCAGGGATAGGGGGTGTTGGGGGGAACAATGGTATAACACATTTCTGGGAAAATATGGCTCTTGGCAGATTATGGTCCTGAACACCCCATATGCACTTGAGAAGTAACGAAGGGCATAGTTTTTTCTTTCTTGGAAGTTACTCTCTTAAATTAGTGATGTTGATATTGGTACTTATGTGTTTATTAAAATCATACATAAATAAATGGTTGTTTCACATTAATATTATGGTTGTTATTAATATTGGCGGGAAAACCTTATGTTATATAAAGTTTTAAGATGATTCTGATCGTCATTCAGGAACATAGAGAAATTACAGTTCAGGGCACTTTAGTGATGTGAAAAGTATAGGATTTTATACAACTTATTGTATAAATATTACCAGGAATTATGAATTAAAATTTGTTATAGCATTATTTTCTTACCAGAGGCAACACATTATGGCCTTGAAACTAAGAATGTTAATCATCTGGTTTGTAATTTTGATAGAAAAGTTGAAGTCATCAATAATACAATACATTCAGCACCAGTTTGCATCATTTCTTTAAAAAGTTGTACACTTTGTTATATAGTTTAAAGTTCAGATTGGAACTTGGCTGAAGATGTGATTCCTATGGTGGAAGAGAAATGGGCTTCTGATTGCTAAACAGGAAGTGTGGATGCCAAAAACCGATTTGCCTACTTTTGCCAAATAAGATCATTCCGTTTCCTTTCCATTTTGTGTCAAGTATCAGACCTTGTTAATTGGTTTACAGCAAAACTTTTGAGTCATTGCTGGTTTTGAGAGAAGGCATGATTGGAACATGGCATAAGAAATTATTATTGTTAAGTGTCAATGCTTCATACCTACAGTTGTCAGTGTACGTATTTTAATGTGTCGAGAATTAATATGGACTACTTTTTAGAGATAGCCTTTATATTTTGAGTTCCTGAAACCGTTAGAGTACTTGTTTTTGGACTAGATTTAAAGGTTTTTATGTATGTATTTTTTATTATTATTTGTCATTTATAAATAGAAAAGGAAAGTTATCTTCTAAACTCCAAATGCAGATAATTATTTAGGAAATGTTGAGGAGGCTAGGATGTATAATGGTCAAAGTTTCTTAATCATAATCTGGAGTAGCAACATATGCAGACCTATACTAGATAAAATATACAAGCATGTTAAGGTAGATGAAATTAAGAGTTGTTCCCAAGACATTTTTGTGGCTCGGGTGTCCATCTGTTTGCTTCGGACTAAGCTTACAGGAATGTATTTTGGCCCCACAAACAGCTGTAACCTTGTCTGCATTTTATAAAGAGGCATTTCTATTCAAATCAGTACATCATTCACATAGACTTAAAGGATTAACCTCTGGCATTAAGAGAAATTTCTTTTGAGCACACACAAATAATGTATTTTGTTAATATGGGAGCCATGGAAGTAAACAGGACATGGATAGTAGTTCTCAAGTAATGCTGTGAAAATCTACTTAAACATTGCATGAATCAAAAAGGGTATGGTATAAACATTTAAATCCTGTGCACGGGTTTAAGCTGAAGACCGTTGGATGTCAGTGCTCTCGAGCATTTTTATGTGCCAAAGATTTTCTTTTGTGAAATAGGTGTACTCTTTGATATAGTTTTTTATGACAATATATTAGAAGTACAGTATAGTGGATTGGTCCTCAAATACTTGGTCCATGAGTTGCTCTAGACATGTCAGGTGGTGTATTGAGATTAATTATTCAATGTCATGTTTTGTTAATGGAAAAATGGGTATGTATTGAACATCATACCATTTCTTTATTATTGACCACTAAGATATTAGTTGATAAAGCTTTTACTTTCAGCTGGAGTTAATGGATTGTTGTCCTCAAAAAATGTCATTCTCTTTTTCCTTGTACTGCATGCTTGGATGTGAACATTCAACTTGTCTAGCTTAAACCCTGATCATATTTCCTTTTGTATTGATGACAGTACAATCAACTAACACTTCTGCACCTTGAAATATGTCAGGTCTAATGGTAGTTGTCCCCATAACTTGCCAAATAAGTAGATTGTTGTTCTTGGATAATTGAGGTTTTGGCCAAATTCTTAAGAGACTTGTTACTTCATAGACCTTTATATGTTTTAAGATACCGAAGAGTTGACTCATCGTTCAAGAATTATTTGTTAATTACATACATGATAAATATAAACATCATCACCATAACTACTACAGTGAGTTCACTTAGGTGTAGTTGTCCCAACACAATAGTGGTGATACCCACCATTAATGAAGGGAGCCGCTCATTATTGCATTTATCATGTTCAAATAATGTGCATAGAAACACAAATGCTGCATTATCCATGGCTTAGCAAATGGAATTATTGAAAAATGTTGGTAGATTTTTGCATTTGTAATTGATCAGTGCAAATGGTTAAATATGATGAGTATCAGGACCTGACATTGATACATATTATCAAAGCTGTGGGTAATCATGGTGTTGTGTAATCATAAAATTTTCTAACTTTAACATTTTGAATATTTTAAGTTCCTCTTGTAGTTTCTAGGTCATGTTGGCTTGTGTATTCTATATGGGGCACAAAATCAATATAACCATAGTTTCATTTCCTAAATTCTTATATATTCGAGCTCTCCTCATCACAAGATTAAATAAATGAAAACTTACTAAAAATAAATTGAATTATTTACCTGTTTCCCTTTCAACAAACACTGGCATCTTTGAAAACCTAAGTAGCCCTGGGGAAAAACGAAATGGTGGCCGTTATAGAAGCAGCCGAGGGTGTTTGTGCCCAAATGCTCTACTTACAATTTGATGGGTCTCCAGAACAGATTTTGCAGACCACAAAAAGTTTTTTTTAACCATGATACAGTTTATTCTTGGAGCTTTGCCAACAGAAGGATCCCTAAATTTGTTAAGGTATCATTGGTATCATCCATGGGCAACATGAGATGTGAAATGGTAAAAAATCTGTTGGTGAAAAAATGGTAGAAGTGATTCGGTTTACCTTTTAAAATTTTTTTTTTAATCCATTCCTTGTGTATGGTTTATTTTATGACCTACCTCCTTGTGTGGCAATAAGACCTCTAAGTCAGACTGGGGCTCAAGGCTGTGACTTAGGTGTAAACCTTTTAAACCATCATTTTGCTGAAAAATTCCTTCAAAACAAAGTTACAGCACACATGTTTATTATAGCATATGAATCATGATGGGGGAGGCTACTTACACTACAGTATGTATATTCATATTTAGATCTAAATACTGTACACTTAACAGTACAATACTTACACTTGTATTTAGTTTCACTTACTGTATATTGTTACACTTAGTTTGCACTTGTATGCACTTTTTTAGTATGCACTTGAATCTAGATATTATTTCCTGGCTTAATCACTGTTGGAATCGAGGGTGTGTGTTGGCATATTAGAGATTACATGCAAATCTAACTCGAGAGGAGTAGGGTGAGTGAATGGACGACCTAGGTAGGTCGTTCAGAGAACATTCCTATAATGAAGCCAGAAGAATCACTACTAGTTGATTGGTTATGTTTTCTTGACAATGGCATTGGCTTGAAAAATAAGTGGAGTTTAACTTGTTTCAATTGTGCATGTTGCGGATTGATCACACAGGTACACAAGTCTCACAGCACAGGGTAGTAATTATGATCCACTTTGGCGTGTGATCCACAAAAATGCTTTGTCCAGACCATCTTGCACCTCAAATAACTTAATTTTAGCAACTGTCGAGTCATCCTCACTGCTGCTTCATCAGGTGTTTCCATAACAGTGGCAACAATTTTCTCTTCTGTTGCATGACAGTACCCAGTCATCAGCATCCATCTGCAACCACTCGGCAATTCATCTGCTACATCCATCTCGCTACTTCTACAGGTATTGCAAGGTTAACGAAATCAATCGATCCAAAACCAAGGAAGTTCACCTGTTATCAACTTTTTCCATGAATTAGCTAAAGTAGACATGGGTACTGGTTTCCAAGCTTCAGCCACATTGTAAAAAGCGTTTGGTAAATTGTAATTCTTGAAATTTTGTAACTAGCGAGCTTCCCTTAGGTCCCCCACCAAATTTTGATGTTTCCAGAACAACCTGGTATTCATTCATTTGTTTCCTCCAATAAATTTGCTTGTATGACTTGGTCAGATCCTGATTCATAAGCTGTAACAAGCTATGTTAGCAGCCAGGAACACGAAGTATTGCTGGGGCGTCTAGGCATGATTGTGTAACACAAAGTCGGAGACAACATGGAAAGCAAAATAGATGTGCAGGGAGGGAAACCGAGTCAAAGTCAGTGTGTAAAGTGCTCTCCTGGCAAGAGTTTGCACCACACCAAACTCAAAACCTACCCCAATCGTTGGATCAATGGGGGCAGTCGGCAAAACTTGGTGGGTGTTTCCCTAATACTGTATATAATTGTCGGTTATGCAAAGTATCGGTCAATGGGATGTCGGTTTACAGGGTATACCTTTATGTACCAGGTGCAGTGAACTCTCTTATTATTCAGAGGTCACATACTTATCAGGCACAGTGAATGGGTTAAGATAATGTAGTTACAAAACAATTTAATTAGTGCTTGCTTAAATAGTTCCAGCTTGTTTGAAATTGATTTTTGAGTGTGTCAAATGCCAGAATACTTAAAAAAAAAATTAATTAATACAGTGAAGGAAGCAGTGATAATCAAATCAAATATATTAAACACAATTTGTTTTACTTTAAACTTGCTGTCACTCACTGAAAACCAGGCATTTGCTTAGCACTAACCAACATGTTCATGATAGCCTGCAGCCTTGGTATCTGATGCAAGTGCTGATCGACAGTCGTGATCTAGGCCTCGACTTAACACACTTCATCCTGGTGAATGTCTCCACATACAGGTATTTATTCCCAAATTCTGTAATTGTTCCAGCCCAAAGTTACTTTTGCGTAGGATTTCTCAAGAAATGCTGGAGTAAAGCTGATAAGGCGACTTGTCTGAAAGATATCCATGAAGGCATCAATTTCCTAGTCTGTCTGTTCCACTTGATATAAAGGAGGGAACACATATATGTCAGTCTCATAGTCTGAAGTAATCATATTTTTGGTGTGCTTGTGAAAATCTGAAAATTGATAATGAGACTCCACACGTAAAAAGGACTCACAGGATGTCTTGACAAGGAAAATCAACAAAATTTAACCATGTTGTGTGGTATATGCTTTCACATCATTGGAAGTGTGACCTGTTACTTTCTCTTAGTTGCTTCAAGAAGACAAGAAACTTTGTTTCAAATGCCTTGACTTCTAAAAACATCATATGAGCTTATCTCACCCTAGCAACTAAAGCTTGAAGCTAATTTAAATGTTGCATCACATTGGCCAAGAATACCAGATCCATATACATGTGCCTAATCAAATAAAAAATAAGCTAGATTAAGTTTGATTGGTGCTATAGCAAAAAATTTTTTTTATCAACCTGTCTCTTCACCAGAGGTTTGCTAACATTCCTACCAGGGAGATGAGGGCCACTTGAAATTCAGTTTGGTAACCCTGGCCTATGGTTTAGTCATACAAGAATATACATCTTTCACAATATAAACTGAGTTCAATCTCATTAAATTTGACATCTCATTTTCTTTAAATGAGTATTATACTGTACTGTATTGGAATATAAAACAATGAAAATTGAAATCTCTTTATAAAATTACCATATCTAATTATTCATCAAGGTACACAAGTCATAGTGTACTGTAAGTATCATGTACAAAAAGGTGCGAAGTATTATCTTAAGATATTTATAATAAAAAACTTGACACTTTACATGCAAAAGCTCTGAAAGCATGCTATTCATACAGGTAAACATGTAACTTGAATTATTACTGAACTATATTTGGACTTTTTTTTTATTAAATACAAGGGCACCCCTAATTTTACAGACCACCATAAACATTTTCTCTCTAATTTGTACAAAATATGAAGGAAACTAAATGTCTGCAGTTATGACAGTGATGGGATTAACTTCATGTTCTGAAGTAAGTTTTAGATTTTATCCAGTTGCAGTTCTAGTCATACCTAAGTTTATATTGGCTCTCCTAACAGAGCTTTCTGACGAAGTGAGAAAATCCTACGCAGATACTTTTCTTCTCGCTCCTCTGGATCACCAAACAGCTGGGGAAAGAAATTTGATTGGTTTAAGATTATACTGTACAAGTGTTAATATAAAATTTGTCAATGATCTTACGTACTTTGTGTGTGTCCAGATCCCCAACCTATTTATATAACCGATACAGAGGGGGCTCCCGAAATTCACAGGAGTTAGGTTCTCAAAATGGCCGTGAATTGCCAAATCCGTGAATAATAATAAGGGGGGGGGGATAGTTTTACTTGTGTACAAAGAAATGTATTTTCCCTTTATGCGTTTGCCCTTAGGACAATTATTTCTTTTCTTTTACCTGTATTGTATATATACGTATGTGTGTGTGTAGACACACACAAATAAATAATAATGGGAAAATACTCTAGGAAACAAATTTATTAAAAATATGAGTCCGTCAAGTCCGTGCTTTATTAATAAAGCACGGACTTGAGTGTAGACTCACATTTTTAATAAATTTGTTTCTGATAATTTATAAGAGAATTTTCCCAATATTTTTGTGTGTTTTGCATATGTGTGTGTGTGTGTCTGCACACACATACACACACATTTACAATACAGGTAAATGAAATTACTGTCTCTAGAATGAATGGCTCCCTATCCCAGCCACAAAAATGCCGGCAACTTTAAAACTACCCACAGACATTCTTGGGTACATCCAGAGTATCATCCGCGAATAATAGAGAACCGCAAAATAAAAATCCGCGAATTTGGTGGGGCCCCTTCACTAAACTAAGTTAGCCAGTCAGTGACTTTACTGCCCATGTTACAAGGTTTCTATTCATACACTGCATTTGGGTCCACAATGATACTGTACTGACAGCACAAAGGAGAACCAACAATGAAGAGAATAGAAATTAATAATCATATAATATTTACAGACAAGAAACTGTCAGATTAGTAAGTACTGTACATTCTATAACCATGTTCTTTACTAAATAATTTTTATTATTTGAGGTCAATCATTAATATCTATCTTCGGAAATTTGCTTTATGTACAGTAGATACTGAATAAATTATTTTAATCCTTACACCAAGCATTTGACAGAGTATCGCATCAGAGGCTTCTGAGAAAAATTAAGGCTCACGGTATCGAGGGGAAAGTTTTAAATCGGATAAAATCATGGCTCACCGATAGAATGCAGAGGGTCAGCGTAGATGGTGTTAAATCTGAGTGGGGCCGTGTAACCAGTGGGGTTCCCCAGGGGGTCAGTACTAGGCCCACTCTTGTTCATAATCTACATAAACGATCTAGATACTAGGATCAGCAGTGACATAAGCAAGTTTGCGGATGACACCAAAATAGGGCGGCAGATTAATTCAGGGCAGGATGCAAATGCATTACAGGAGGATCTAAATAAACTGCAGGGGTGGTCTGAAAAATGGCAAATGAAATTCAACACCAGCAAGTGCAGCGTACTTAATATTGGAAGAACAAATACTGAAAATGTATACAGCCTTAACAACATCAACCTAGAGAAGTCGACTTGTGAAAGAGACCTAGGGGTACTTGTAAGCCCGGACCTACGGCCTAGAAAACAATGCGTTAATGTTCGAAATAAGGCAAACAGAGTATTGGGTTTTATATCTAGAAGTGTAAGTAACAAGAGTGCAGAGGTCTTATTGCAACTATATCTTGCGCTAGTCAGGCCGCACCTCGATTATGCGGTTCAGTTCTGGTGCCCGTATTATAGAATGGATATAAATTCACTAGAGTCGGTGCAGCGAAGAATGACAAAAATGATTCCGGGACTTAGAAACCTTCCATATCAGGATAGGTTAAAGAAACTTAACTTGCATTCCCTAGAAAGACGAAGAGTGCGGGGAGATATGATAGAAGTATTTAAGTGGGTGAAAGGAATCAATAAAGGGGATATAGATAAAGTTCTTATAATCTATAATATCCGAGCAGGATAGGACTCGGAGCAACGGATTCAAGTTGGATAAGTTTAGGTTTAGGAGGGAGATACAAAGAAACTGGTTCACAAATAGGGTGGTGGACGAGTGGAACAAGCTTAGCAACTTTGTAGTAAGTGCGGGAACTCTGGAAAGTTTCAAAAGGAGGCTAGATAGATTCATGGATGACAGAGAGTGGTAGTAACTCTCGACAGGAGCTGCCATGCACAAGCCAACCGGCCTATTGCAGACTCCTTATTTTCTTATGTTCTAATACAAATCTGTGGCTACCTCCGCTGTGCACAAAAAGAATTAGCGCTTTAAATTTTAAGTAACTTTATATAAATGTTGAAATACATTCAAAATAAAAGGAAAACTCAATACAGTATAAGGAGTACTGTACAGGTATCCCTTACTATACAAATGAATGCTATATTAAAGTTCTATTCATACACCTATTTATTGCTATCTGAAAGGGATTTTCACTTATGCAAAAAATAGTACGATCGAAAATTCAAATTGTGCACACCTCGGAGTCGGTTGCGGTGGCATTACATCACCCCCACTTCCTCCTGCATCCACTTCAGACCGCGTGTCTCACTTCATGTTTAGTTGAAGTGCAGTGCTCTCTCTTTTATCTCTGTGTATTCATGCCATCCTTCCTGCTCAAGAGTATACCTGTTGTGTCAGGTACAAAATCAAAGTTTCACCCATTACAGAATTTACAGCAATCATATGACACTTACATGTGGACTAAACAGACTGTCATCACTCAGAGGAATAAACTTTCCAGCCCTTGCAGACAATTCTGCCTGTGTTCCAAAGTTGAATTCATCTCCATTTTTGGTGTCAGCTTGGTTCTTTGGAGCTGCTTTCTCACCTCGGCTGGACTTAAAGGTCTGCTGAACAAATCCATCTTCTCCAATTTCCTCTATGGCCTTTGAATAGGCAATTTTCTCAGATTCTGACATTTCTATAGAGAAAATGAAAAATCACAGTAAAGAGTTTGTGATTTTAATCATCAATTAGCTTTTTAAAGAACTAGAGTAATAAGCATAATACATAATTACAAAATGAGCTGTAATCAATTATTAAATTCCCTCAAAAAGGCACCCATGTGGCAATGATATTTCAATACAGTATTAAGTACACTATCTATAGAACATCCACAGCACAGATGCCTAGGATTAGTCAAGTGCAAAGGGAAGAGGTGAATGTTTTTACAGACAGAGATGGGATTATGTGGAAGATTACGCAGGAATTAGTCACCTAGAGAAGAGAAGAATTTATAAAGAGGAGAATTACATAAAGAAAATACTTCAGCAAGACAGGGAAGGAGAGTCCTCATCAATGAGAAATTTTCAATGACTGGTTTGATAGAGCAGTTTTAGCTTGAGTTTTGATTGGGGAAGCAGTTTCTACATAAATTTCTGATTGGTAAAGCAGTTTCTACATGTGTTACTTAGGAATACGTTACAATAATTAATGGCTGATGCTTAATAGGTAACAAGGGGCAAACTGGAAGACAAAATCATATGTCAAATGCCATACCTTTCTTAGCAGACTTTGGTTCTTCAGGTACAGGACTAAGAACCTTATCCCTCTCCTTCTCTTTCTCTTTATCTCTGTCCCTGTCTCTATCTCTTCTATCACGGTCCTTGGTAGAACCTCTGCTACTCCGATCACGATCCACGCTACTTCTAGCTGACCGAGACTTTGAATACTTTTCACTTCGATCTGAATCAGAACTAAAAAAAAAAAAAAAAGTGTTATACTGTACATCCCAGACTTAAATAATGAGGGAGTTGTGTTTTTTCCGTCTTGCAAGCCCTTCTTGTAAGGTGCCGGTTGGCCAACACAAGAGCAACACAAACTCTCCCTCATTATCTTAAAATGCAATTGCTTTCTTTACTCAGTTAAACTTCATGCCTTCAATCTGAACTGAATTAAAATACAGGCAATCCTCACTGTAATCACTCCCTCTATATGTATTTTTGCATACTGTACAGACTTAGTGGGTAACTGCTCATATGTACAGACTTAATGGGTAAGTGATCACAAGAATAGACTTAATGGTTAACTCGTCACATGTACAAAAGAGAATTCATGATAATTGAATAAACACTGAACTGCTGAGGCCTGGAAAAACTCATTCTTTCCTTCATTTTACATTTATGATACCATCTGTTCAGGTCATTTATCCATAAAGCTACAGAAACAATACAGCAGTCCATAAAATTGCTAGACCAAACCAATTATATGTGTACCATACCTGGAGCTGCGTCTTCTATGCTTATGCTTGGATTTTTTATGTTTCCGACTGGATCTTGATCTTGATCGAGAACGAGTAGGGCTGCGACGACGCCTGTGACGGTCTCGATCTCGACTTATCGAACGGGACCTGCTCAGCATAAAAGGTTAGCATACATAGGGCCATACTGTAACATGCACCCAAGTACAAATTTATATTAATTGAAATCCTACTTAAGATGTAAAAAATAGCCATGACATGCTATCATTATGAGTTTCCTATCTCTTTGTTCTAATTTGCTCTTTTTATAACACTGTTTCACAATTATGACCTGTGACATAATGGTCAGCATAATCGCCTCACAAGAGAGTAGCCCCAAGTTCAATTCCTGGGCAAGTTTCTTTTGTGCCATTTGTTTCTGTCTACCCAGCAGTAATTGGAAACCTGGATGTTCATCAGGGTAATGGTGAGCTAGTGCAGTTGACAAGTTGTACAATCTTCCTGTGTAGTGCTTAAGCATATGAAAACCTTGGGGATCTTAGAGCCAGTCATTACAGAACATTTGGCTCAACCATTATACTGTATTATGGTTCCACTTAATAAGATTAATCATAACATTAAGCTACCTAGCAGAATCCCTTCTATATCTTGATATAATGAAATTCTTTTTACATTCAAGATTCAATTCAGTACACTCAACTTACCTATGACTGTTTGATGGACTACGAGAACGGCTGCGAGACCGGCTGCTGGAGTATCGCCTGTGTCTCCGTGACTTCTTATGACGGCGGTGGCGACTCTTGGAACTTGTACTGCTGCTACTACGAGATCTTTAAATAAATTTAATTTTCTATATAGGTATGTTCAACAGAAATATTACTAAATGTAGTAGTGTACAGCATATGTAAAAATTAATACATAGAATAAAAAAAAATAGCATATGAAATTGGTTAAATACTGTACTTACATGCAAGGATTAAAATGAAAAATTCTAGGCATTGGTACACTGCCCCCTCACTTAATGCTGGTATGTTCCATGTGGATTCCCTTGAACACTGTTTTTTATTACTACCCGGTATCGGTTAACACAGAATTAAGATTCACTGGAAAATGGGTTGAGCCGAACGCAATCAGGTAGAAAAAGTTTTGTGTGAGCCAGCGGCTGATTCATTTACAGTCCATGATAACATCCCCAGCAGACCAGCGGTCATGTCCAATACAGTCCACTGGTAGCATCCCCATGCCACGTGGGCTCAGAGTTTAGCCAGTCCTCGTTCCGGCCACGACCAAAAACTTTGCATAGATTAGCTTCAGTTTTTTTGCCTGCTTTCATCACCAAGGCTCCACCTAAATGTTCTCCAAGTGCCCCTCTACCTCGGGACACTACAGCATAGTAGTTTGGTTCAATTTATGAACGATAAATTATTTAACAGTACTGTACCTGGTAATTCAGGAAGCTTCCAATCTCACCAAATGTGAACAAAGGCATGCATGATTTTATGCCAAGACCTAACCTAACCGGGGAGCTGTCTGGTAATACTGTACACAGTCACATACGGCACCACAGTCTGAGAGGCATAGGACATGAGCATAATTAGTAAGGAGAACATTCAGACAGGAGGAGGTACCAGAACACTGCACTGGGTTCAATCTCCAGCCCAGGTCAGAGGTGAGGAGGGTGTTCTTCAATGTGAGCCCACCAACCATCACAGGGTTCCTCTTATACTATCATTGGATAATGAAGTTCACAACAAAGCAAGGTTAATATTTCCAAAACACTGGCTTATGAGCCTAAATCATATGTCAGTGTTTGTGGAATAATAATCCAGTAGGAGAGCACAATGATGATTGATTGGGTTAGGTTTTAATTATGCTTTATACCTCACATTCCCTCTCTGCTTTGAAGCCCTGCCCACTTTTGACGAGATCAATATTAACAGGGTAGGAATAGTCATAATTCATTAATTATACATTTCTCTAAACTTTTAATATCACCAAGCGATGCATTCAGCATGAAAAACTGCATTAAAATGTTCTTTATCATGCTTAAATCCTTTACCCCTGTTTTCGGATTAATTACTCAAAGCCACAAAGAACATATCAAACACCTAAATGGTTAGCAAATTGTTAAATGATGGAAATAATGAATTAAAAAAAATAATCAACGTGCTTAGCAGTGCTTAACCATTTGACTAAACTGAACATTTATCATACCGGCTTCTCCTTCTTCTTCTACTTGTTCGTTCACTATCTGATTCACTGGAGTAACGACCCATACTTGCTTAGATATTACTTCTCTTGCTCTATATTACCAAAGGGAACAATAGTTGGTTATTAACAGTAGAGAGAATGTGTGCACCAGACCCACACACACTTGGTACTGTTGTTGTGTTACGGGTTCAGATTCATCTTAGTGAGTTTATCTTATATTCATGACAAATGCAGTAATATATTCGCTATTTTATAACACATAAATAAAACGATTTTATCAAGAATTAAAAAAAATCTTCAAATTGTTATATATAGTTATAGAGATAGATGGATAAGAAATAAGTATTCATAGGGATTCATTTAATGTGACCAGACGAGGAGCCACAACAAACAAGCCTCTTGAGTGTAGTTTCAAAATCCCTTACTCGAAAGTTTTTTATTTGATTTAATTTAGTTTGGTAAGTAACTCTATCTGTGATTGACATAATATTTTCAAAGCTGGAATGTGTAAAACTTTCTTACCTTTAATTCGGCACTGATTGGTCTATTTTGGGGTTAATGTGTAGGTTAATGCTGCCAATGAGTCTAGCAAGAACACACTGCTTTTCCACCCCTTCTATCCTCAACAGAGATTGGGGATCCTGTTGGGAACCGGGGTGTTGAGTGGGTCGTTTTCTGACAAAAATCATGGCCAAGTGAATACAAAATACACCAAAAAACACTAGAAAAACATATAAACCTAACCTAAACTTTTTTGGGATGACATAATCTAACCTAACCTGACCTAACATAATCTAACCTAACCTGACCTAACCTAACCTAACTCTCATGGTGATTTTACGTAACCAAACTCTCACCATATGAGGGAATCACTGTTACCTGTATTTCTTACCTTATTGACCTGGTTCTGGTTCGTCGTCGGATTCTGAGATCAGTACAGGTGGCTGACGCTGATTGTCGCTTAACTTTGGTTACTACAATGTTAACTATGTTGTCTTGACGATATTTACACTCGTTCTTACACTTAGGACACTTTACTGAGGTCGGGAGAATACCATGAGATCTAAAAAATGTGATTGCTTGTTAGTTTTTTCCCCAAAATTCGCAATTAACTCCATAGAATTGAAGTGACGCCCATCACAGATTTCCCTGGTCGGAAATAAATTTGAAATTCGTTATTATGAGAGACCCAAAATCACAATCGAATCTGATTGGTCAAAAAATACAAATTCTAAAAGCAGAAACCACAATTTATTTTAATTGATGGCAAAAAAAAACTCTTTGAGTGGCTGCGTGACGTGTACGGGAACGCATGTGCATGACGGTTTATGAAGGGAATACGCTGAGTCGGTGGTCGGGTAGGCAATAATGGCTGAAGATTATTGGATGAAAATAGAGAAAGATTTGGCATACGCTATCTCCGTTATTATACGTTTCCAACGGTAATGCAGTAGAAGAAAATTATCTTAAAATTAGATGTATTTTTCGAATATGATATTAGATTTGGGGTAGGAAAGTTGTGTGAACTACTATAAAAATACCCCTTTTTTATACGTTATACTACAGTATAATACCGCATGCACGTTCAAAGGAACTGCGCGTGACACGCTCCCACTCCCCTCACTCAGCAACGACTGAGCCATGGGCGTGGTCGCAGTGACTTACGTGTCATGAGATGTTTGTTCGTATGTTTGCCATAGAATCAACGGCCAATATATTTGAAGTTTTTTTTCTCCTCCAATGAGCTGTCACATCTATCTAGCGAGCCAATGAACGGGGTCGTTACAAACCTCCTGGTGATATTGGCAGTTCGTCAGGCGCTCAAATTTTTAAATTGTAGTCAGTTCTCTCTGACACATGACTTGTGACACTTGCACTACTGTATTAGTGAATTTCGAGCAATTAAGAGGCTTATGGACGACGACACCTAATCTCTTAAGTTTTTTTAAGCTTGTGGCGTCATTCCAGTCTCCAAAAAGTGTTCTGAGCGATCTAAAATATGGTGCAGTTCTCAGTGGTTCATTCTTATTAAAATGCAGGATTCCAGGATTCTTGGCTTTAATTCACTGAACAAAGGGCATCTGATAGAGCAAGATTTCCATGAATTTTCCTTTTTGATAGGATATAATTTTCTTAGTCAAACTCATGTTAATTTTCGGAATTACCTTATATGCATGTACAGTATACTGTACAGGGAGTACACAATATAGTGTTATTCTTTTTCAGGTGGGAATGGGGAAGAATATTATGGCTGCTGTGTTGCAGCTCAGAAAAATTCTACCTCCACTTTATTGTTCATTGTGTTCCCCTGGACATGAAGCCAGTGTTGGGCGATGTATGAGCTATGTGAACTTACATCACTTCATACAGAGACACAAATCCACTATTAAAAAGCCCATAGAAAAAAACATTGATATTGAAAAACATTATGATACAGAACACGGCTCTGAGTTTTCAAATGTACATATTGGTCAGTTGTCTGATTATTCTCCAGAAAATGAGGAATCGTACAAGTATATCAACCAAAATTCAGTGCATATATCAGATAATGATGAGTTAGCTTCCAAAGACTCTTCCAGTTTGATCCAAAATGAAACAAAAGTGTATGAAAATGAAATTAAACAGGGTCCAACTCCAGCCATTGGGATCACATCTGTTAATGAGGTGCTTGGAAATTTACGACGAGATATGTATAAGGATGGCCAAAAGGTCAACACGGAAACAGTTGGTAGCCTTCTACCTAAGGAATCATTAAATTCACTTTCTAATGGGAGACCTGATGTTCATGGAAAAGACGAAAAATTCCTTAAAAATACATATAAGACTAGGATCACGTACACTAGGAAAAAGTCATGCTCAACAGATATTTTTACGAAAAAAAAGAAAATCATTGTATTTGGAAGTGAAAGAAACAGTAAAAAGGTAGATGTTAGAGGGATGTCTACTGAAGAGGATGGTGAGAAGACTCAGGTTAACACAGATTCACACCAGACTAACAAACCATCAGAAGCAGGTGAAACAGGAAGCCCTAATAAAAAGTACAATAAATTTTCTCTAGGATTAAAGGAGGATAAGAAAGGTGAAGACACATGTACAAATGATTCTTTGCCTGGACAGTGTTCTTCATCATATTGTAAGAATGCAATTGGTATACAAACACTCTCTTCTTCTCTCGCTGATCAGATATTTAGTACAGTTACACCAAAGGATGCTCAGGAAGCACAAGAGGATCTTGAGAGAAGCAGAGATCATTTACAAGCACATGGGCTATGGAATAAGGAGTCATCAGTCATCCCAGATTATGACTTAAAATTACCTCCACTAGAGGACCCTGATCTAGACCAACATTTCCGTGTTATTGCTGAGGAACAGTGTGCTCCATATAAAGATTTGTTAAATCAACTGGTAGGAGCAGACCTTCCATATTTTCCCAGTGAGTGGCACTTTTATCCAGGATGGACTCGGTACAATTCTGATGGCACCTACACACAGGTGGACTTCCCAGACTGTCATGCCATTGTTTTTGATGTGGAAGTTTGTGTGAAGGAGGGCAGTCAACCAACATTGGCCACTGCTGTATCTGATAAATATTGGTATTCTTGGTGCAGCCAGTGCCTGGTTCATCCTGAGAAGGAACATAGTGATAGTTTTACTTTAGAAGACCTCATTCCACTTCAGAGCTCTGACACCTCCCAACACCATGAAAACAGAGATGTTCCTCGAGTGGTTGTTGGCCACAATGTAAGTTATGATCGAATTAGAGTTCGTGAACAGTACTTTATGGAGGGGACTTCCCTACGCTTTGTAGACACCATGTCACTACACATTGCTGCAAGTGGCTTAGTATCAGAACAACGAACATTGGTAATGAAGAACAAAAATAGTGATAAGAAAATCAGGCTCCCATGGATGTTTGTTGGATGCCAGAACAGCCTTAATGAGGTCTACAAATTTTATTGTCGTGCAGAAGATCTCAAGAAGAGCACTAGAGATGTATTTGTGAAAGGCAAATTAGAGGATGTCCGCAATGACTTTCAAAATCTTATGAAATATTGTGCCAATGATGTGAAAGCAACACAAATGGTCTTGGTCAAACTCTTACCATTATTCTTTGACAGATTTCCTCATCCTGTTACATTTGCTGGAATGTTAGAAATGGGGTTGACATTCCTCCCAGTTACAGAAAATTGGGATAAGTATGTTACAGCAGCAGAATCAGAGTTCCGTCATATAGAAGAATTATTAAACAAAGAACTGGTAAAACAAGTTCAGACAGCTCTTGGTTACATGGAAAATAAACAATATGAGAAGGACCCTTGGTTATGGAACCTTGATTGGTCAGTACCTAAAGGAAGAGTAAAGAAATTACCTGGTTATCCAAATTGGTACAGAAAGCTCTGTGCTCGTACTGGTGAAAGAGAGGGCACCCCTGAACCAGAAAACATGAGCACAGGTCTTCAGGTTGTACCAAAGTTACTAAGACTCACTTGGGATGGCCTTCCACTTCATTATGAAAGGCATTATGGGTGGGGTTACCTGAAACCACTATACAATAGCATTAACGAGATACCCCAGTCTAAAATTCCTCCAGTTGATAATAATACTATTAAAGATTCACCATGTTTTCCTATTAAGGCATTGTATGAAATGTGTTCTGGTAAGAAAGAATATCCTGAGGACCAAACAGAACTCTCTGAAACAGATAATTATAGCTTGTTAGTTAATGAAGAAGACTGGGAGTTATGTTCTCAAAATCAGACTAAGAATGTTAAAACACCCAAACAAGAAAGTAAGCAGGAAGAGAGGTTAAGGGATATTGGTATTCCTGGTGTGGCTTTTGTTCCACTACCACACAAAGATGGTGCCTCAAATCGTGTTGGAAACCCTTTAGCTAAAGATTTCTTGAATAAAATTGAGGACAAGACATTAAGCAGCCACTTTGGAGATCTTGCAGAGCTTGTATTGAAGACCACTAAAACCTTGTCTTATTGGAAGAATAACCGAGATCGTATAAAGTCCCAGATGGTTGTCTGGCACGACCATCACAATCTGCCTCCGTCTGTTACTTCAGCAGGTATGGGGTTCCACAATTTAGTACATGTACTTTTTTTTTCACTTTACTCAACAGGGAAATGTCTAAAATATTCAAAATTTTAAAACCAGTTATTTCTTTATTTACTATAGCAGAAGCAAATATCAATGGTACAGTGATTAACTTTGCAATAACATATTTTCTAACTTACTGGAAATTATTAGTGTTGCTAATATGTCCTGATGCATAAAAGCAATCTAGCTGCCAGTATTTAAAGTTTCCTTGTAGTCAGACTGGAAAACACAGTGTGACAATACATGAGCTATCTGGTTATAGAATGATATTTTGAATATCAATCCTCCAGTTTTTCCAGTACAGTAAAGAAATTTCTTCAACAAAAACTTTTCACCAATAAAAAACTTTCCCCATATTTCATTGTCTGTCCAGTATTATATTAAGTATATATTTTTGAGTGTATTGTGTGGCTGTTATAATATTCCAGTTTTGAACTTCAAACACTCTTTGGACAGATGGCTATCAAAAGACTGGCAAATATGGAGTGATTGTGCCTATGGTAGTCACTGCAGGGACTATTACTAGACGTGCTGTTGAGCGCACGTGGATGACTGCCTCCAATGCCTATAGTGATCGTATTGGCTCAGAACTCAAGGCTATGGTTGAAGCACCTCCAGGTAATGTTTTTTATATTTTGTAAAACAGTTCAGTATAGATTAATCTTAGAATCAAAGCTACAAATGTCATTTGCCCAGCGTGTAATATTCTCTTGTCTAGAACAGTTGAGAATGAGAAGTAATGAAGATTTGGCTTACAAAATTCAAATGCTACATATTTTTCATAAATCTATCTCTTCCTTATGGTATATCCTAATTATAGAATGAACAGGCAGATTTATTCAAGTTAGGTGCTCACAACAACCTGTGGAATATGGATCATATAATATTTACTTTAAGTTCAGCACTGAATATTTCTGGATGATGTTAGGGGTAAAAGGTTCAGGATAAATATTGAAATGATGAATTTTTATAATTGATCACACTAGCAAGGCTGGAGAAACTCAATATTAGGGATATGTCCCTGGACTGTGTCAATAAGTTTTATTACCTGGGTGACAGTTTGTCTAAATCAAGTTTTAGAATTTCATATACAGGGTAATTTATCAGTTATTTACTTTTTTCTCGTTCTGTAACTCACATTGTAATGTGAGTTACTTTCAGTCTGTTACTCTTCTATCTTACATGTTATCTTTCATTACTAATACCAATCCTCTGTGATCTGAGATACAGGTAAAGTAGCTAAAACAACTATCTGTGCAGGTGGGGTGACAAGTGACAGCTCTCATATACCAAAATTTATCATCCATGGTCTCATATTGTTTCCCACAGAGTATCCACAGATAGTTGTTTTAGCTACAGTACAATATATGTGAAAGTTAATTCAGCTTTTCAGAAGATTTAGAAAAGAAATACAGTTAACGAGGAAACTATTAAATTGAATTACTGGTACAATAAAGGCTTCCTAATAGCCCTGTGTGACTTACTCTTATTGTTGATCAGGTTTGTTATCAACACAAAGTTAACTAACCAATATCAAGTTTTTAGTGCAGTACTGTATAGGAAGTTATGCAGCTATCTTTTACAGGTTATAAATTTGTTGGAGCTGATGTAGACTCTCAGGAACTATGGATTGCTGCAGTTCTTGGTGATGCTTACTTCTCTGGTGAACATGGAGCCACAGCTTTGGGCTGGATGACGTTACAGGGTAAAAAGAGTGATGGGACAGACTTGCATAGCCACACAGCAAGGAATGCAGGGATATCACGAGACCATGCCAAGGTTAGTAGCATATTAGTCTCTCTCTCTCTGTCTGTTTCTGATGTAAAGGTATGTAAACTTTTTGAGAATTAAATTTTTTTTTTTAAAGAGTTTATTGTACACATTTTTATATGTTTCCTGGGTCAGGTTTTATGATTACAACAAGAGAATTTGATGTATTGTCTGAAAATTATTATCTAAAATGTTTTGCTGTATAAGGTAGTTAAGGTGCCATGGTGTTTTTGTTAAGGTTATCAATTATGGACGAATTTATGGGGCTGGTCTCCGCTTCACTCAACGTCTCCTGAAGCAGTTTAACCCAAAGATGTCCGATGCAGAAATTAAGGAACGTGCTGAAAATTTATTTGCTACTACCAAAGGACAAAAAGGATGGTGCCTTAATCAGCAAGGAGAAGAACAAGCCATTGACATGAATTATCCTTTTACTGGAGAACCATTATCTCGCAAACAGGTAATATAGACTTTAAGGATTGTTGAACTGTGTATCTTTAACTTTGACAGAAAAAGCGAGAAAAGACTTTAACCCTTAAATGACAGTGAACATAAATAGATGATGAGCACCTTTTGTCCTGCAATGATGGTGATCATCCTTATAATCAGAATCTTTCCACACCATAATTTTTAAGTATGGCCCCTGATTTATGCTCGAGTGAATTACTGTACAGTATTGTGATTCAAGACCACTTTTCCTTCCACATGTCATGGAGGAGGTACAGTAGTTGTCATTTCCAGTGACACACTGAGCAGAAAGATCCCTCACCAAAGTAGTGTTGCCCTGACATCGAAAAAAAAATATATATACAGTATATATTATGGGAATCAAGAGTGAGGCTGAGATTGAAGAAGTGGAAGATTCACCAAGTGAATTCAGAAATGATATCTCGTGCAAAAAAGATAAAGGAAATTATTATAAGGTCAAAACATAAATGGAATGAATAAACTTTTCTTTATATACTAGAGTTAGCATGCTGATCAGTGGAGGGGATGTCAGCAGAGTATGGGAGCACCATTGCTATGGGTAGACAAGTGTCAAGGGGAGGCAGCCAGCATTCCTGAGACTGCGATACAGTGTGTACATTAACTTGTATATTTTTTTTATTTGATTATTGCTGTTTACAGTTTATCCTTTCATTGTTGCTGTTTATATGCTTACAATTTAAGTTTTGATGTTACAGTGTACAGTACAGATAATGCTAGTACTGTATTAGGTGTAAATCTAGCTAAATTTAAAAAATTTGAGTTGATAACTGGTGGGAATTCAGTTTCAGAATTGGTAATACTGTTCATAGGATCAGCTGTTGTGGTGGTGATCAAGGTCAAAACATGTTGGTGAGAATCTGGTGTCTTTTTACAAAATATGTCTAGGATTATACCTACCGTAGTATTTCTGAAAATCAGGGTCGGATAATACATGAGATAGGCTTATACATGAGTACAGTATACAGGAATACCCCAGTTATTGCAAGGGATGCATTCCTAAAAGTTATTGTGTATAACTAATTAGTGAATATCAGGGCAATTTTCTCCCTAAGAATTAATGTAAATAGGGGGGATGTGTTCCCAGCCAGCAACTTTCAACACATTTTCTCAATATACAGTACAGTACACTCCTCATTATCAGAGGCTTTTAGGGACCAGAGTAGTGTGTATACTGTAGTACCAGTAAATGTGAAGAACGAATAAAAATAATGCTAATAAATAAAAGAAAAGAAAAAGATATCGCATTGCCAGCTAGCAATGGTTTCACTACACGCAGGAGACTGGAATGACTGAGTTGTCCAACACTACTCCCTCGGTCGCTCCACTCACAATCCTTGGAGTTAGTAACGTGCATGTAAGGAATCTTTATTTCATTTGTTTTTGATCTTATGATAATAATTGTTTGTTTTTTGGACATTCTCTATGCATGTAACAGTAAAAAAATTGTTAAAAAAAATTACGCTTATCTACTTGAAATTACAAGTTAAAAATACTGTATAACAATAATGCAGCTCACAGCTTGGCCCAGTAGGGAGAGGATGAGAAAGAATTTATTAAAAATATGTATATCTACTCAAAATTACAAGTTGAAAAATAACAATAACACTGCATTGCCTGGTAGGAGGAGAGGTAGGCGGACATACCTTAAGGAATAATTAATTTGGCGACCTGTCAAGTCCACACACATGTTCATCTCCCACACATACACACCTATGCTCTTCAAGTTTTCATATTTCTTATTTTATAGCATATTGTTTTATACTAAGTACACTCCATACAATATAATAAAATAACTACAATAATATAAAAACAATACAAATGAACATAGTGTGTGTGTGTGTGTGTGAACATTTTAAACTAGCATTTACCATTGCCATATGAGAAATTCTAGAATGTTTGGAGTATTTTTTCACTCTGTGGGTTGGAAGTACAGGTGTGGGGTGAGCATCTTCCACATGTGAATTTTAACTCGCATGCTTCATATGAATGGTCCAATTGAACTTCATTGATTTCTAAACCGCATGAGACAGTATGCGTGGAACAAAAACGCTCGTGTAAAGTGGGCCTTGCCTTCGGAATGTGAGAGCTGTGGCTAGCCCGCCCAGTTTGATATATTACTGTAAGGTAGTATTGTAATTTTTAATTTGTGAATAAGCGGGGTATGCTTTGTGAATATCAAATAGGGGTGGTAAAATATCAATTGCGGATAAATGGAGTTGCGAGTAGCGAGGTATTTCTGTATACTGTAATACACTTATCAGAGTAAATAGTCAATTTATACAACTCACCGTCATTTAAGGGTTAAAGTGATTTTGTTTTAATTTTACCTGTAATGTGAGTTTTATGGCATCCTGCCTTTCTCTAGGTTTCTTAAATACAACAGGTCAAAACCACAGGCTTTTGGTTGTGGTGGGGATTTAGAAATTTATTATAATCAATAATTGTCTTATCCTTTTGACCTTCACCTTCACACAAGGGTCCTGAAGGATATCCATTTGTTAAGAAGGTATTCTAAAATATGAGAAGACTTAAGCATAATGCAGAACCCATAGCTGGTAGGCAACAGTCACCTAGAAAAGGTGTCAGTCATAAAATATTTGAACATCTTGTCTGGCCATATTTCACAAATATGTCTGTACTCCATCTGTGATTGGCTTTGTTTCTTGATTAAAAATCTTTAATTTTGTTCTTCTAAAACCAATGATCACATTTAGCTTGTATTTTTAGTGGAATAAATTAATTTTTTTGTCTAAAATGACTATGCTAAGATGGCCACCATTGCTGAAAGCTGAAAATGCTTTTAATGTTCTAATATCTAAAACTACCAGTGAGATGTACCTGAAAATTTGTGGAAATATTCATTTGATCATCTTTCAAGAATGTATCTGATATGGCAGTACACTGTCTTTGGGTGAATGACTTATGGGGCCTTGGGTGTCTTGTTTAGGGGAAAGGTATGCCTAATATTTTAATGAATCCCCAGGCCTTATTTTCATTGGCCACACTGGACAGTAGCCCCTTAGATTTAGCTGACATAGTGAGGCAATGCCACTAGTCGGGTTTCAATTAGCAAATGAGACCTCGGGATTAATCCATCCTTTCTTTTTTGCAAAACAAGTTAATTTTTAGTTGAATATTTATTTATATTGCCGTATAATCTCCATATAATTTCCTTTCATTTGTCTTTATTGCCCTCTTGTTTCCAATTGTACAAATTTTGTTTCTTTATTATATCCTTGCCTAAATTTATTAATTGTTTTTATTGTTTCTCTCACACCCTTTTGTTCTGTTTGAAACATCTTTGTTCACTTCATAAAGCTCCTTGTATAGTACAATATTTCTGAGCCTATATATACTGTGCTGTAATACACTAAAATTCTAATAACCATTATTCCATTTTTAGCAAGTTCTATTTCAAAGATCATGTGCACAATTTCTTTATCACACAGTGTACGGTCTAGGCTTTTTCTTCATACAAGATTTATTAGTTGTTTTCATTCTTAGATAAACAGATTGTTGTGGGAAGCCAGAAAGAACAACATCGAAGCCACTTTTGATGATGTTGTTGAAAGGCCGCCTGTATGGATCGGAGGTTCAGAATCTCACATGTTCAACTGTTTGGAGGCTATAGCCAGGTGTGAGGAGCCCAGAACGCCAGTGCTCGGAGCTAGAATAACACGACCTCTTGAACCGTATTATGTTGATGACCAATTCATGACGAGCCGAGTGAACTGGGTTGTGCAGAGCTCAGGTGAGTTAAATTACAAAGGAATATATTTTTACATGCCCATAGATTTTCACGTGATCCAGAATGTGATAATCTCCATCATCTGCTTGTTAATTTTAGTTTCCTCACAATAAATTCAGCATTATAATATGGATTCTTTTCATATTTTATGACAAGGGTGCTCAACCCACTGTTTGAGGGCCGCATGCGGACCTCAAACAGTGGGTTTAATTGGAAACCTCAGTACTAGAAGAAATATAATTAATTTTACTGCATATTTTATAGAAATTAAATATAAACAAATACTATTTCTGTAACAGTTGTTCTGATCATGATTCCTTCTTTCAGTTTACAATACATGGTTAATACAGTACTTAATAATCAGTGTTATTATCGTGTAAATTATTTACGGTGCTTATTCACATTAAAACACTTGCCTATCTAATGTGGCTAACTCATGCAAAAATGTTGAGCACCACTGAGTCTAGGGCCAAAAATCTTGACTTTGAGATTTTTTTGAAAATCTCAGTATAGATACTCCTGAGCATGCTGATTCTGAATATATGGTCCATGATTGGGATTACGGCATAATTAGTGATCGTAGTGACGCTTGGAAGATTTAAATTACATTACTGTATTTCAGTGCTAATTACTCGCCAACTATGGGATTCCGAGGTGTGATTTTGGTGTTAATGTGTTATTCTGTAAATGCTTTATTAGATAAACCCTTAAATTTTGGTCAAAAATTTCTAAGGTGTATGGCTTATGTTTGACAGTTTTGGCCAAAATGATTTTGTTGAAAATCACATTATAGGTACTGAGCATGCTGATATCAGTATATGGTCCTGATTCGATTGAGGGGTAATTAGTGGTAGTAATGACACTTGGTATATTTTAGTTCTATTATTTCATTGCTAATTTCTCACCAACTATGGGATTCCAAGCAAATTTTGTTAATGTGTTATTTGGAAGTTTTAGTTAATAAACCCTTTAAATTCCATTTCCAATGGGAAAGTATATTTTGGTCGAAAATTTACTAAGGTATAATGCTTAATATTTTGGCAGTTTTGGCCAAAAATTAAATCTTGTGAAAATCTTAGTACAGTATTGGTACTTCTGAGCATGCCGATTCTTAATCTATGGTCCATGATTCGATTGCAGGGTAATTAGTGGTTGTAATGACACTTGAGTATTTTAATAAAAATTCATTTGGGTTTCAGAGGACTGATTAGTTACGGTAAATCCCTTTAAATTGAAATTCAAAGAAAAAGTATATTTTTGTCGAGATATTTTCAAGCAGGGCTGCCCAGGTCTGTTTGAGGCCTGCATTTGGTCCCCAGGGTTTAGTGCAGACCTCAGCAACTAGTAGAAATAAAATTAATTTTGCTGCATATTTAATAAAATTAAATTATAAGAAATACTATTTCGGGAAGGATCTGATTATGAGTCCTTCATGGTTAATACTTAATAATTAATCAATGTTATTAATGTGTATATATTATTTCCTATGCTTATTCACATTCAGGTGAATGTGCAGCCCACGAATACACAGTTACCCATTTAATACGGCCTACTCATGCAAGAAAGGTTGAACACTACAGTTTATTCAATTATTCATATTGACATATAATCTTCCTCTAATTTCTTTCATTAGTATTGTTTCCATTTGTGCAAATTTTGTTTCTTTATTATATCCTTGACTACATTAGTTAGTTGTTTTAGTGGGGGTTTTCACACGGTTGTACTGTGCCAATAAAATTTACTAGAAGACAGTCACCCAGCTGTAGGTTTAGTACATATATTTTATGGTGTGATTTTAAGTTTTAAGTTGTTTGTCTTCATTAAAGTGTAATCATTTCTTGTTTTATTTGGCAGCTGTGGACTATCTTCACATAATGTTAGTGTGTATGAGATGGCTGTTTACAAAGTACAAAATCTCAGGACGTTTCTGCATTAGTATCCATGATGAGGTGAGTGTGTTGGAAAGAATAAATAATAAGCTTCATCTTAGCATATTATATCATATGGGCTTACACCCAACCCTTTCAGATTACTTTGTGATATTTCATGTCTTATATTGCATTATGGATGTACTTTACTAAGTCTTATTACAGTACTGTACAAAACATTTCTTCTGATATAAGTACTTTAAATAAGTTACCCACACACGGCGGGTACTTCCAAGTAGTGTTATGTGTAACTATCTCTTGTCACAAGCTGACTGTGTAAGCAAGCATTTCTGCAGAATAGCTACGGTGCTCATACATAACATGAATATTTTATTATGACATAATTTTAGAGCTGCTATGTTTTGAAGAATTAAAGTAAAAGATCAAGGTCTTAGCTGTGAAACATGTATCACTCAAGTGTGAGTTGGCACCTATCTCTAGTACAGTAGAATAATACTTACTTTGAAGCTTTTAGTTTCAGAATCAGACCTTAGCTCTAACCACTTTCTCCCTTGATGTGGTCCTACCTAACTGCCACTATAGGGAGACCTAAGTGCACTCACCTCCTTTTATTGCTGCACTTGGGATAATTTTTCATGACTTAACATATTCACTACAGGGATGCCACTTTTGATATTTTATTTGGCTAACACCAGAGGATTTTATTCAGTACAGAGGGGACCCCATACAGAAGAGGCTAAACCACACTGTCTGTGTTTGTGTTCTCATTACTGTTTGGCATTTTCTGGTTTGACCACTTGTGTTATGGGGGTTCCCTATGTGCTGAATAAAATCCTGGTGTCAGCCAAATAAAATATTAAAAGTTATGTTCCTGTAGGTTAATGCTTATCATCTGACAGCTCATGTAATATAAATGGCCTTGCTAGGGGTCCATTAATCTTTAGACAGAGCCCTACTATGTTAGCCAGGGAATTTTTTATCCAAACAGACACGGCCTGTTATTGAAATGTCTTGTACAGTGGTAAAGCCCCTCCCAGGGAAGGTTTGAATTGGCTAGTGGCTGTCGGGGACATATGACCTAAGCTGTTGTGTCACCAGGGAATTAATTACCACAATCAATCAATCAGCTAGATGCTGACCAATCAGTTCTCATTATGTCATAGATAAAGGATTTTAGAATTAAAGATAAACTAAATCTTCTGTCCATTCCAGGTTCGTTACATGGTATCTTCAGAAGATTGTTACAGAGTCGCTCTAGCACTTCAGATCACGTAACCTCACACGTCACTTGCACTCAGGTTGGTGTATACAGGTGTTAGTTTTCTTGATTAGCAAGCATAGAAAACAGATAAGGTTCTTGTTTTGTTTTGTTTTTTGGCTAGTGATTTAGGGTAGCCAGATTAAAACAAGACCTTGCTCTTATTTTTTAAAGAAAATATAGAGGTCAGACTCCTAGAGCTAAATGCCTGAGCAGGCATTAGGGCATTGCATCCATACTAAAAGCACTATATAATTAAAGTTTTATAGAGTAAATACAAACAAAAAATCAGATTACTACATTACAATATTGTCTTGAAAATTACTATAAATATATTGTATCTGATTTTTAATAACAACATGACATCAATAGATGCCTAAATTGGAGTCAAGTTCCAAGGAAAAGGTAGGTCACTCCATAATTCCTAAACAATTATAGATCTGGCACTTGGAAAGATGTACGAGGTCTATCCGAAAGTATCCAGCCATTGTGAATATTAGTGAGAACTGGTCCATGCCTTGATGTAACCTGCACACCAGAGAGGACCGTGATCATGATGTTGAACAGCCACTCCCTGGACAACTCAGTCCGGCAGACACCGTTGAATGAGCGTGGGTACTGTGTGACCGTTGTATTTACCAAACAATAACGAAGGAGTACTACATCGTTCTTCACCGCTGAGGGATGCGGTAAGAAAAACCACATGTGGGCAAGTGGTGACTGGCAGCTTCATCATGATAACGCTGCCCATTCTTCACGCTCGCAGGGTTTTTGACAAAACATTGAATCACCCAGGTCTCAGCCCCTACAGCCCAGATTTGGCTCTGGCGACTTCTGGCTTTTCTCAAAGCTAAAATCGTTGTTGAAAGGAGGAGATTTCAGACTGTGGACGAGATTAAGGAGAATGCGACGAGGCAGCTGATGAAGATCCCGAAGAGGACTTTGCAGACTGTTTTGAAAAGTAGAAGGACGCTGGAGAAGTATGTAGTAGAAAAACATTTTATTTGAGTTGCAGGCTGCACTTTT